TAGAATTGAAAACGTTGAATTTTTCCCCAAATCAGTATTTGCACCACTAAATTACAGGTATTAACCAATAGTAGAGTGTGGCCAAAAAGATCAATCTTTGTGTCTTAACTGAAAACACAGGTGTGTAACTGATTTATATTGATTTAACAAACTTTAACTATTGTTACTCCCTACATTAAAACCGTATGAATACTTAAAGGCCTATCTGTCTTTTGAAATATGCTCATTGTGTGCAGCAGCGCAGAATCAGTTATTGTCCCTAAGTATGAAGTGCAGTTATTAATTGCGTGTGTATAGTAAAAATTGTGAATTGTCCTCATTATATGTGAATTCCAACAGTGACATGAGTGTCTGTGTGCAGGATCGACTCACGTGAATTGCGCTTCTCACGCGCAATGGTTTTTGCCATCGAGGAGATTAACAAAAGCAGTAAGCTGCTGCCGAGCATCAGGCTCGGATATCAGATCCATGATTCGTGCGCATCAGTGCCCATGACTGTGCGTGTGGCATTCCAGCTTTCAAATGGCCTGGACTCAGTGTTTTACACCGGCGACCACTGCACGCGATCGGGTATAATGATGGCTATCATTGGTGAGTCTGGGTCCACGCCATCCATCAGCATGTCGCGCGTCATCGGCTCATTTAACATCCCTCAAGTAAATATTTTATATTTCTGGTAAAATGTGTGTTTTATAATAGGCAACTGAATGACATTTAAATGAATGACACTTTCATTTTTCTTCAGGTGAGCCACTACGCCACTTGTGCATGCTTATCCAATAAGGAGCAGTATCCGAGTTTCTTCAGAACAATCCCCAGTGACCAGTTCCAGGCTGATGCGCTGGCCAAACTGGTCAAACACTTCGGCTGGACTTGGATTGGTGCTGTCCGCTCGGATTCGGACTATGGCAATAATGGCATGGCGTCTTTCCTGGATGCAGCGCAAAAAGAGGGGATCTGTGTGGAATACTCAGAATCTTTCTATCGGACCCACCCACGTAGCAAGATCCAGAGAGTGGCTGATGTTATCCGCAGGTTTCTGCATCACTGATTGTGCTTGTGTTCCTTGTGTTAACTCTGACTTTCTGCACACAGAATAACAAAACTATTCCACCAAACATGAAATTAGAAGATCAGAAGATTATTTTTATTATGTTAGAAACACACCAAACACAGTTTATGATGTTAGTTTTTTGTTAATAATCTTGAAGCATATTTCAGAACGTTTTGTGTGTCTGTCTCTCTAGGTCAACAGCTATGGTTGTTGTGGCATTTGCAGCCTCTGGAGACATGAAGATCTTGTTGGAGGAGCTGTCAAGGGAACCTTCCCCACCTCGCCAGTGGATAGGCACTGAGTCATGGGTAACTGACCCAGACTTGTTGAGATTCACCTTCTGTGCTGGAGCCATCGGATTTGGCATTCAGCAATCAGTCATCCCAGGTCTGAGAGACTTCCTGCTGGATCTGTCCCCAACCAAAGTGGCTGCATCCCCGGTGCTGACTGAGTTCTGGGAGGATGCATTCAACTGCAGGCTGGGCAAAAGTGAGAAAGTTGTGTTGATTTTTAACATAGGTGATACCCACAGTTGGTTCCTTGTGGTTGGGTTGTGTTCTTTTGTTGGTTGTGATTGTGGAGCTTTGTGTGTTAAAAAAGTCCACAGATGCTTCAAGAACAAAGCTCTGATTTTTATCAGAAGTGAAATCTCTTGTGAAGTGCAGTCCTGAGGCCCATCTCTACGCTGTAGTGATTTAAAGATCAATTATTCATCATCATTATATTTCCCAGCATATATCAGTTACAATAAATGTAGGTTAAATTACTTCTACCACATTAAAACAGGTAAAGTCAGTTCATGTTTAAAGGAAAAGTTGTGAACATCTTTCATAAATGTGACTGATGATTGATTTGTGTTAACATGAGCTGGTATACATTAAGATAAATGAAAACAATGACAAAGGAACTATTCGAAAGAAAATATTGTAGATACAGGCATGACAGGCATCAACAGCGCTTTCTAATATAATGTAAGATAAGCCTGTTTTTACCAACAAACACATAAGAGAAACACAAACACATGAGATGTAATAACATTGTAATATTATAGTCAGGGCTAAAAAAAACACCTGCGTCTTCACTTTGTTTTTAGGTGCAGCCACAGAGGAGAGTGTGTGTGATGGAACTGAAGACATACAAACACTCAAGAGCCCATACACTGACACATCTCAGCTCCGAATCACTAACATGGTGTACAAGGCTGTTTATGCAATAGCACATGCCATTCATAATTCAGCATGCCAGAAAACAAACTCTACAACTCAGTGTGACAAACACACCAGAGTAGAGTCCAAACAGGTCAGTCGATATACTGCAATACTTTATTTTGAGCTATGATGTACTGTAAAGATGAAAAATTAATTTTATTTTGTATCATTTCCTTTCTCTGTCTTATTTTATTTTATCCTCAGGTTTTTACTGAGCTGAAGAAAGTAAATTTTTCCCAAAATGGTTATGATGTGTCATTTGATGCCAACGGGGATCCTGTGGCCACATATGAACTGGTCAACTGGCAAAAAAGTAAGATTGGCAGCATTGAGTTTGTGACAGTAGGGCACTACGATGCATCACTGCCAGTGGGCCAGGAATTCCGTATCAACAGAAACCTCACCTGGGTGGAGGGTAGCACACAAGTGAGGAGCAATAACATAACATCTAACAGCTGTGTAGCAATAATCCATATCTGTGTGAGTCTGTCTGTGTCTATGTGACAGGTGCCTGTGTCAGTGTGTACTGACAGCTGTCCTCCAGGAACCCGAAAAGTGCTGCAGAAAGGAAAACCCATCTGCTGTTATGATTGTATACCATGTCCTGAGGGAGAGATTAGCAATGCCACAGGTAAAATAGGTTGATGTTTTCTGATGCATATCTACAACCTCAAATATATGACTGCTAAAATTCATTTTTGATTTATTTTTTCAGATTCCCCTGATTGTTTCCCTTGCCCCAAGGAGTTCTGGCCTAATGCAGAGAGAAACAAATGTTTCCCCAAGCCTGTAGAGTTTCTTTCCTTCGATGAGGTCCTGGGAATCATCCTGGCTGCTTTCTCAGTTGGTGGTGCCTGTCTCGCCATGATAACAGCGGCTGTGTTCTTTCGTCACAGGATGTCCCCGATTGTCAGGGCCAACAACTCTGAGCTGAGTTTCCTGCTGCTCTTCTCATTGACTCTATGTTTCTTATGTTCATTAACTTTCATGGGAGCACCCTCTGAGTGGTCCTGCATGCTGCGCCACACAGCGTTTGGCATCACCTTCGTCCTCTGCATCTCTTGTGTTCTTGGGAAAACTATAGTGGTGTTAATGGCCTTCAAAGCCACACTTCCTGGTAATAATGTCATGAAATGGTTTGGTCCTCCACAGCAAAGAATGACCGTAGTGTCCTTCACGTTTATACAAGTTTTAATATGTATTATTTGGTTAGTTCTTAGTCCCCCTTTTCCAATGAAAAACCTAACGGTATACAAAGAGAAAATCATCCTGGAGTGTGCATTAGGCTCAGCTATTGGGTTCTGGGCTGTACTCGGGTACATAGGCCTACTGGCTGTCTTTTGCTTCGTGTTAGCTGTCCTAGCTCGGAAACTACCTGATAATTTTAATGAAGCCAAGTTCATCACCTTCAGCATGTTGATATTCTGTGCAGTCTGGATCACCTTTATCCCAGCATATGTCAGCTCTCCTGGGAAATTTACTGTGGCTGTGGAAATTTTCGCCATTCTGGCTTCAAGTTTTGGACTAATTTTGTGCATATTTGCTCCCAAGTGTTTCATCATATTGTTTCAACCAGAGAAGAACACCAAGAAACATTTAATGAACAAAAATTAGTCTGTGCACATTTAACACAGTTCTAAAGTTCTTCACCAAGTTTATTTGAATATTTACATTTTTTGGTTTTTAAAAACTTTAATGTAATTATGTGAATGTCTTTTTGTAATGATTTTGTTTCATTTAATATTAAATAAAGTCAAATTTATTGTAAAAACATGAGTTCTGTCTCAACATTTGAAAAAAAAACAAAAAAAAAGTGCATGGTATGTGCATGCTATCATATTAAAGAGATCATTTTAAAACACCAGCGGCAAAATATTTGTATAATTTCATTCTTTAGTAAGATGTACTGTCACATTTTTCAGTTACAATTCATGTAAAAACCTTTACAGTGTGTACATGAAAACAGTAGACAACAGTCTTGACAGGAAAAATAAATGAGTATTGAAAAAAAACAGCAGAAACAAAAAAAAAAGCTTAACAGTTCTAGTAAACAGATGAGTTATGAGTTATATTAAAATACTCTTGAACTAGCTATTCATGGCACAGAGAGAGCATTAATGCATCCTCAGGATCTGTACCTGCAGCCACATGAAAAGGATATAAATGTTAGTGAGTGTTACATGGGTGTGGATTGGTGTTTTTCATCAATTCAAGCCGTCTGGCCTGTGGTTATTTTCCCATTGTTTTTAGAAATGCTTAAAGGTCAGATACCTCTTAGGAAACCCTGGGAGGGAAACTTGGTCAGGCCTACTCCCATGGGGCCTGGTCAGGGTCATTTAAAGGAGCTATTTGTAAGTTTTGCTACTCCTATATGGCCAGTGTTAGAATTAACAGCTGTTCACTTGCCAGTTTAGAAGAAACGCTGCGAGTTCAGCATTGAACTTCAGTTTGTTGCTTGCAAGCGGTGGACACGACCCTCTTGTTTTTCTTCTATTCCTACCACTTCTTTTTTTCTACTGAAGTTAGCATGCTCATCAGCCTGGTCGGATTGTCTTGTCACTTTCCGATACCAAGTCACTGTGGTCTGTAAGACTGGTCTTACTGTAAGACTGGTAAGTTAGCATATAGCTGTTAATGCTAACATTGACTATGTAGCAATAGCAAAACTTACAAATAGCTCATTTAAGTGTTGCTAGGTGACAGGTAAAAGATGGGTGAAGCATTGAGGTGATGCTTTATCACTTTGTAGTTCCTCGACCCATAATAGCTTTCTTTGTGTTCCTCTCTGGTCTCAGGAGGATTATGTAACATTTGGGTCCAAACAGCGCCACCAAGAGGCCAAAACTGGAGGCCAGGATGGCAAATACCTCCACTGCATCTGCATATTTGCCTGGGGAATTGACATAAGCAGGGACAAAGGCCACCCACACAGCACAGAAGATCAGCATGCTGAAAGTGATGAATTTGGCCTCATTGAAGTTGTCTGGAAGATTCCTTGCCAGGAAAGCTAACAGGAAGCTAAGGATAGCCAGGAAGCCAATGTAGCCCAGTAACACTGCAAAACCAATTGTGGACCCAACTACACACTCATAAACTATCTTGTCATTGTGGTATTGGGTGTTTTTATGAGGTGCTGGTGAGGCAGAGACAAGCCAGGCAGTACAGATTGCTGCCTGAATAGAAGTAAGAACCAGAACTGTCCCTCTCTGCTGCACAGCACCAAACCACTTCAGACTGGCTCCACCTCCTGGCTTAGAGGCCTTGAACACAGCCAGAACCACCATGGTTTTCACCAGGATGCATGAAACACAAAGCACAAAGCTGATGCCAAATGCTGCATGTCTCAGCTGGCATGTCCACAGTCTGGGTCGTCCAATGAACAGCAGTGAGCACAGGAAACATAGTTTAAGTGACACCAACAGCAGGAAACTGAGTTCCGAATTGTTGGCACGCACCATGGGTGTGCTGCGATGATAGATGAAGATGCCCAGGATGACAGCACAGATAAATGTGCCCAGCAATGAGGTGGCTGTCAAGCAGATTCCCAGAGGCTCATGGTAGGAGAGGAACTCTGTTTTCTTGGGGACACAGTAGTCACGCTGGGGGTTGGACCAGAAATCCACTGGACAACTTGTGCACTCCATGGAGTCTGACAAAAAGAGGGAAAATGTGAAATGTCAATAATATTTATTTTATTTGCTATTTTTCCTATTTGGAATGGACAATTTTCTATGCTCTTCAGTCCTTTTCCTTGCCAGATTACATCCTCCCCTACTATTAGGGGATACAGTTTCACCTGCAACACACATGGAATCCTGCCAGTTGCTTTTTTTTTCTACCAAACAGTGAGGGGCCTTTATTTATACACCAACCTGTTTCATTGCTGATCTTTCCCTCAGAACATGGGATGCAGTCAAAACAGCACACAGGTTGCCCCTTCTTTCTGGCCATCCGAGTACCTGGTGGGCAGCTCTCACTGCAAATTGACCTGGGTGGCTATAGGGATTGATTATATATATACAACTGTTAAATTTTTTTTGTCAATGTAATGTTATCGAACCAGTACTCAGTATCGGTCAATAAACAAGTTCAGGTATCAGGATTGTGAAGGAAAAAATGAAAGTGAAACATCTCTCATGTTCTACAGTATTCAATGTTATCATTAGGCATAAAACAGTAAAATCAATAAGCAGGAGTAACCTGTTTAGATTCAAAGTTCCAGAAAATTCTGTCCTCATGAAGTGTGAGTTCTTCACCTTTGGGCAACTCTTTAACTTCACCCACATTCTGAATCTTTGCTGTGCCATCTGGGAGCCACAGCCAGTTCATGACGTCATATATTGGCAAGGCATCGCCATTTGCATCAAATGACACTTGATCCCCAACTGGTGTGGTGAAGTTTACTCTATCCAAATAATACACCAGCTTCAAGTGGGTGAGAGAAAACAACACAAGAAGAATGTTAACACAGAATGTAAATGACTCCATCCAAATATGTATCTGATCAGGTGTAGCTATCAATCATTTTATTTGTTTTATGCTGGAATTGTCACGTTTAAAGTGTAACTTTGCTCCAGGCTAAGAGCAGTTAGTTTCAAATCAACACTAATGTCCCAGTGTCCTGGAGTCCAAACTGTACTTCACAGCAGCCACATCACAAGATAAATCACTGAGAGTTTAAATTACCTCTCCAAAATACAATAAATTGCTTGATTACCATAGATTTATTATGACTGTCACTCATCCTCATGGGAATCTGATTTGAAAAAAATATTTTCCTTTTATGAGGATTGCTATTTGGTGTCATAGTAAAATATTGTTTTTAATTCTTATATAGAGTGATGCAGGAATGATGAATTTTATAGGTCAACCTGGAAGTTACAGCTCAACACTTTCAATTGGCTTTTGGATTATTGCAGAAAATAATCTCTGTGGTTGTCAAACGTTTATGATACGCTAATTTCACAAATGGATACCACTTCTATGATTTTTGAAGTACAATACCAGAAGTAAAAATGATATGTTGAATGTGAGGCTATAAACAAACTACACCATGGTTGCATGACTTAACCACCACTAAGCTTCCAAGTTGCAATTTGATTTAGTGTGCTTGCCTCTTCTTCTTCTTTCCTCCTAGAAAGTTAGTAATATGCAAGAGCATGAGTATAAACAAAACAAGACTGTAAAGACCATTGAGCAGATCATTGCTAACTGCTAACTTATTTCTGGGTTTTAGGGCTCAATGCGGCAGCACTCTTTTCTATATCTAGGTGTAGCAGCTGTTTTTCTAAATGAACAGGTAGCGTGTAAATTGATATCTCACCTGCCATGGCTCCAGTCTTTGTAAACTCGTACAGCTGTGGCCACTGAAAGGCCCTCGCCCTGGCTCACAGTGCAGCATGTCATCAAGGGCGTACGCCAGAGCATACACAGCCTTGTAAATGTTGTACTCCGGCCTGAGATTAGAAACATCAAACAGCTCACTATCCACTTTATGTAGATCTTCCTGTCCAGTGCATAATGCTCCTCCAGCTTCCACCCAATCTACTGGAGGTGGAGAAAATCTACACTGAAATATATCTTCCCAAAACTGATTTACCTGAAATGTAAAAAAAAATATTCAATGTTAACAAAAAAATGCATATTACTGCTGCAATTACAGGTCAGATTGTAAGATTAAACTCTCACAATGCTATTTCCATAGTTGTTGTGGTGTTGGTCGGGGTGTATTCTTAAGAGGAAGTCCTTGTATCCTGCTATTTCTCCCCGACGGATGGCAATGCCCAGTGTTCCACCCAGGTACGGCATGAAGTCAGGCGTCTGGAGCACATCAACTGATGTCCAGGCTTCACTGGCCAGCCACTGCAGGCCTGTCACATTCTGCCTCACCACCTATATATTGTATTATAAAATAAATATTTTCTCAGACATCTAAGGCACAAATATAGTTGTTTTTTTTACATATGAACCCAGTTGTGTACAATTATGCCATGATAACATATGAAAAGCTTTCCTTCATTTGTCTTTTCCTACAGCAGGAGGAAGAAAAAGGCATAACTGTTATGTTAATTATCCTTTATGTTTCATGCTTCAGCTGCTATAATCTAACTCTGAGAACAAATGTTGACACAAAAAAATATGCTGTCAATAATTTATATAATGCCATCTTTTGTGAGCTAGACAGCCTATAACAGGGAACATAGATTCATAAATGACATGGTATTTTGAAACCCACCTCCTCCACTAGTTGATAAATGTGGATTTCATGTGCAAACACCATGACCACACGAGCTGTTGATTTCTTCATCACATCCACAATTCTCCTAAGTTCAGCTGGGTCATTGCCCCAAGGCAAAATCTCTGTGTAGGCGAGACAACCTCCACCTGAATTAGTCAAGTCAGACTGGAAGGATCGGGCAACATGTACTCCATAATCGTCATCACTGATCAGCAGACCTACCCAAGTCCAGCCAAAGCGTTTTAGAATCTGAATCATAGCACGCACCTAAGTGAATAGAAAACATGGTTTCAGTCATTGTAAGATTCACAGCAGAATCAGAAATCATTCAGAATTGTGATTTCAGTCTATAAGTTTCATTATTGATGCACAAAGCACATACTGTATTTCCTCATACCCCAAACTTATAGTTTCACCTGAAAAGCATCACTTGGAATTGTTCTAAAGAAGGATGGAAACCGTTGCCGATCACTCAGGCAGGAACATGTGGCAAAATGACTCACCTGAAAAGAGACGTACAGTACAGTGTGAGCACAGGTTGTGTACAGTATCTCATGTAAGTTGTTTGACCCATTTGAAATATTACACGCTTTTTAAAAGTTGTCAACACATTTGAAATAGATTTGTATACAGTCCATTAAACGCACAGAAGAAATTTAAGCTCACCATAGGCAATCTGAATAAACCTAACACATTGGAGGTGGCAATAGAAAATGTTGAGTAGGAATCACCCACAATCCCCACAACTGGAGGGGTCCCTAAACAGTTCTCCTGAAGCAGAAACTGCTCCTCTTGACCACTGGCCAGCACCAAAGCAGCACGAAATCCGATAAAAAGTGCACCACAGTTGTCATACAGACTGTATCCCAGAGTTATATTTGGTAGCAGGTTGGAGTTTCTGTTGATCTCATCAACAGCAAAGACCATCATCATGGCCTGTCTGAATCCTTGAGTGTCAAAGCTAAAACACATAATGTTACTATTAACGATTAAAAATGAGCACAAATTACAACAGATTTACCCAAATCACCACATTATCAAAACATTCTGTATTAATATGTGTTACTTTTTAGAGCTGCATTTTAACATGTGGAAATATCTCAATATCTGATTAAGATGTATATAACAATACTTCAAAGACATCTCAGCACAACTCTTACATGTTATTTCTTAATAGCTTGAAGACTCTGATAAGACAAGAAAAATCTTTTTCCTGTATGTATGTAAGACTTACCCTGTGCAGGTGGGTTGACGTGGTTCTGAAGTGAATGTCCACTCACTGAAGACGGAGGTGTAATGGACCTCAAACAACCCACCCAGAATAACATCCCCGGCCCTGTGCAACCCATTGAGATGAAACTCTCTCCGTAATTTACAAGAGGAGGAAAGAGAGGAAGACACTGGGAAGAAAAAAGAAGAAGAGAACAAAACCACGATCATGGAGACACAGAAGAGTAAGTATATGTCAAAAAATGCCCCCATAACTGCCTCCTCCTCCCTTCACCCCGGTTTCTTAATCTTCATGCACTGTTACTTATTTTTATATGCAGACCTATGTCATCCTCTTTGCATCCTTATTGTTTAATCTTTCATACCACCCATCAGGGCATGGCTAGTACCCATCAGGGCACGACCAGTAGTGTGGGCAGGACATAATTGACAGAATATCATGTCAGTAGAGGTGCAGTGTCAAGATTACATAATTACATACACTCACCGACCACTTTATTAGGTACACCTCGATAACCGGGTTGGACCCCCTTTTGCCTTCAGAACTGCCTTAATTCTTTGTGGCATAGATTCAACAAGGTGCTGGAAACATTCCTCAGAGGTTTTGGTCCATATTGACACGATAGCATCATGCAGTTGCTGCAGATTTGTCGGCTGCACATCCATGATGCAAATCTCCCGTTCCACCACATCCCAAAGGTGCTCTATTGGATTGAGAACTGGTGACTGTGGAGGCCATTTGATTACAGTGAACTCATTGTCATGTTCAAGAAACCAGTTTGAGATGATTTGAGCTTTGTGATATGGTGTGTTATCCTGCTGGAAATAGCCATCAGAAGATGGGTACACATAAAGGGATGGAAATGGTAAGCAACAATACTCAGGTAGGCTGTGGTGCTTAAACGATGCTCAGTTGGTACTAAGGGGCCCAAAGTGTGCCAAGAAAATATCCCCCACCATTGCACCACCACCACCAGCCTGAACCGTTGATACAAGGCAGGATGGATCCATGCTTTCATGATGTTTATGCCAAATTCTGACCCTACCATCCGAATGTCGCAGCAGAAATCAAGACTCATCAGACCAGGCAAACTTTTTCCAATCTTCTATTGTCCAATTTTGGTGAGTCTCAGTTTGCGGTTCTTAGCTGACAGGAGAGGCACCCAATAGTAAAAAAAAAAACACTGGGGCATTTAGTGGAGGTTAAACACACATCACTGGATAAGGAGCATCCTATTTCTGATGTATAGTGAGACGATGCACAGCAGGAGGGAAGCTTTTGTCTGAAAATCTAGATTAACCTGTGAAAACACACTTGTGTCCATATGCAGACATTTCGGGGATGGAGATCTCAGCTCTCTTTACTGGCCTGATTTTGGAGATTAACAACAGCAGTAAGCTGCTGCCGAGCATCAGGCTGTCACATTTTCAACTGATCTACAGCAAGTGCAAAATATGAGAATTACAGTTTAACTTTTTACTTTGCAACAAGGAAAATATGTAATTCATTTTACTGATGTAAATCAATAACATCAGATTTGTAGAAATCAATTATTATACTTTGATGAGTTGTGATGGGGGACTGAAGGACTGGCACTCAAGGACTACTAAAGAGATAATTTTGAAACACCAACAGCAAAATATTTGTGTCATCTCATTTTTAGCAGGATTAACTTTTCACATTTTTCAGTGTAAACTGATGTAAAAACTTATGAGTATTATACGGGTTTGGATTGGTGTTCAATTGGTGAGCAATTCAAGCTCTCTGGCCAGTGATAATTCCCCCATTAGTTTTAGAGATGCTTTAAGGTCAGACACTCTTTAGGAAACCTAGGAACTTAGAAGGAAATTCGTTGGTCAGGCTGACTCCTATGCAGTCTGGTTGACGTCATTTAAATGTTTGAATGAGTTGCTAGTTGGCAGGTGAAGAAGGGGGCCTTGGTGTGCTGATCCCAGGTTACAAACTTTTGCTCTAGGATTGTTGAGTGTCACCCTCTTTCTGGAGAGGGCCAGGGTTAATGAAGCTGTGCCAATTAGATATGGCAGGGTTCAACTCAAAAGCTCTTGCTCTAAAACCACCCCCCTGGATAAGGGCGGCACTCCCTCCTATGACAGAGTTGCCCACGGTGAAAGATGCTGGCCAACTGTGTGGATATACTCACACACTCCTGGCAGTGTACCGCTGTGTTGAAGTTGTTCCTGAGAACTAGAGGAACTTGTCTGTGTGACTGAAGTCACTGAGAGTAAGTCTCTGACTTTGGTCCTAGTGCTACCTGAGGCTTCAGTAGTTCTACTGGGGTAACTTAATTCAGTGCCCACAGGGGCAAGGATGGAGAAACCTTGAGGGGAGTGGCTGGGCGTAACAGCATGCCTGATCTGAGTTGCAGTGGTATGTTGATGTGAAGGAGTTTTTATCTCCCTGTGCTCTTCTATTATTTTGTAGACCTCACTATCAGATGATAAAGTACAGATCATAAAGACATCATAGCTTAGCTAATATGCAAATTCACATTGCAGGTACCAAAATAAAATCTTGATCCAGCACTAGCCACATGGTTAATCCAGGCTCAAAGCTGTTACCATGTTAGTCATATTGTTGCTTTTCCTTTAAATGTTCTCTGTAGATGTACATTATATCTGGGTGACTCCTTGCATTTGGAAATTTGGTAGACAGCAGCAATGCTAGTTACCCACTAAAATGTGGTGTGTTGCTTAACAAAACTACATACAAATATAATTTTTGACAGGGTGGCAAATACACTGACAAAAAACTGCACAAAATACATTTCATGAATTTCAAGTCAAAGGATTGTAACAGACTCAGCTGTAGCACACAATTCTCAGGATTCAGTTCTAAATATACACAACAGGCAATGACAGACAGACAGGCAGGAACCAATTGCACAAAATGGCACAGGCAAAAACTCAATGTTTCTCCACGGGGAAACAGCAGTATATAGAAACTCACTTTCAAAGCACTGCAGCAGTACAATGACCAAAAAGCCAGACAGAAACCAAAAAATGCAGGGCGAAGTCTCAAGGTCAGGTTCAGAAGGCTAGGTCTTTTACTGGGGGACAGGCAATGAAGGAAAGGCAAAGACAGGCTGCATCTGAAACAGGAGATCCAAAGTCTTGCATGGGAAACAGCAAAGAACAATCTGGCAGTGAGTGTGTGGAAAACTGGAGACTAAATAGTGGCAGAGTCAATGGCAATCAGGTGTGTGTGCAGGTAAGTAGCAGGTGTGTGTGATTGTCCTGATTGCAGTGGAGCAGAGTGGAGCGGGGGCGTGGCAGAGTCAATAAATGAACTGAACCAGGAAGTGCAGGCTGTGACAATGATACTGAAAGAAAATGTTGGATCACCAACTTTTCAAATAAACAGAAAATATGGCCTTTCAAGATATTTCTGACTAAGCTTGTTAGAGTCAGCTCTTGGTTGTCTTCACATTGGGGTTTTCTATCATCCATTTAAACTATATCACTTTGTCACTGTTTAGGTTTACATTCAACAGACAGTTCATTACAGTGTTTTTTTAAAATTCTGATATACGCTACAGAGTGTCAGGCTACATATTTAATGCTTACACTGAGGTTCACACTAGTAGAATGCAATCTGAAACTCCAGTTATTTGCAGTCACATTATAAAGCAGGTGTACTTTAAAGGGGAACTCACAGGGTAGTTTCAGTATAGTATCATTATCGTTTATCTTATCTTATTTTTTTTAAGGTATAGTGGAGCAATGAATCGTGTGATTTATTTAAAACTAAATTGAACAAACCTAAACACCCATTAGGTGTGCATTTTAAGGTTGTAATATAAGATAAATCCAAGGAAAAAAAAGACATGAGCGTAGGACAAAATTATGGAGATATGTGGTGTTTAAAATGGTAACTTTACAATAGTAGAAAAAAAAACACTGGGGCACTTAGTGGAGGTTAAACACACATCACTGGATAAGGGGCATCCTCTGTCTGATGTACAGTGAGATGACGCACAGTAGGAGGGAAGCTTTTGTCTGAAAATCTATATTAACCTGTGAAAACACACTTGTGTCCACATGCAGACACTTCGGGGATGGAGATCTCAGCTCTCTTTATTGGCCTGATGTTGGCTCTGAGTTTCTTGGAGCTGAACTCAACTCTTGCATTGAATCTTTCTTGGACAGGTCTGAAACAAAGGGCTGGGCTTACAGAGGCGAAGTCTGGTGCTGGGGTCAGTGCTGAGGCTTCATCTGTGAAATGTAAGCTGCAGGGTGCTGCTCGTCTACCTGCATTCTCAATGGATGGAGACTACGTTATTGGGGGTGTTTTCTCCATACACAACTACATGCACACAGTGAAGCATAACTACACCACCATGCCTGAGCCACTAAGGTGCACAGGGAGGTTAGTGAGAAGAGGAAGTTGGGGATAAAAGGATGTTTGACTGTGTGGGGAAAGAAATGTCTTAATCTCTATGATGTGCTTACAAAGTTGTTGCAAGGCTTTTGTGTTGTATTGAAAACTTAAAAAAAAAAATATTAGGGCCAAATCAGTATTTGCATCATATATTATATCCACAAAAGTAGTACTGTTGTTGCTGCGTGTTCCTCTTAACTGAAAACATAAATGTGTTTAACAACTGATTTACTGACTGTTTTAACAAATTAAGAGTTTACTTGACTTTAGTGCATCTTTCTGTGCATCACAATTCCTGTGAATTTTGGACTCTCTCTCTCTCTTTCTCTCCCTATAAATATATACATATATATCTATATATATTAGTGGTGGTCAGGCAACTCTTGGGTATACTGTCTAGGCCTATTTGTTTCACAGATGCAATGCAGCATCAGTTATTGCCCATAAGTATGAAGTGCTGTTATTAACTGCATGTTTACTTTAAAAATTGTGAATTGTCCTCATCATATGTGAATTCCAACAGTGACATGAGTGTCTGTGTGCAGGATCGACTCGCGTGAATTGCGCTTCTCACGCGCAATGGTGTTCGCTATCCAGGAGATCAACAACAGCAGTAAGCTGCTGCCGGGCATCACTCTCGGTTATCAGATCCATGATTCGTGCGGCTCGGTGCCCATGGCTGTGCGTGTGGCATTCCAGCTTTCAAATGGCCTCGAGCCAGTGTTTTACACCGGAAACAACTGTTCGCAATCTGGTATGGTGATGGGTATCGTTGGGGAGTCTGGGTCCACGCCATCCATCAGCATGTCGCGCGTCATCGGCTCCTTTAACATTCCTCAAGTAAATATTTTATATTTCTTGTAAACTGTGTTTTTGCAATTACTCATCTTATTTTCCTTTATTAGTGATTATATTGTACCGCTGAACACTATTTCATGTTGCTTCAGGTGAGTCATTTCGCCACTTGTGCATGCTTATCCAATAAGGAGCAGTATCCGAGTTTCTTCAGAACAATCCCCAGTGACCAGTTCCAGGCTGATGCGCTGGCCAAACTGGTCAAACACTTCGGCTGGACTTGGATTGGTGCTGTCCGCTCGGATTCGGACTATGGCAATAATGGCATGGCGTCTTTCCTGGATGCAGCGCAAAAAGAGGGGATCTGTGTGGAATACTCAGAATCTTTCTATCGGACCCACCCACGTAGCAAGATCCAGAGAGTGGCTGATGTTATCCGCAGGTTTCTGCATCACTGATTGTGCTTGTGTTCCTTGTGTTAATTCTGACTTTCTGCACACAGAATAACAAAACTATTCCACCAAACATGAAATTAGAAGATCAGAAGATTATTTTTATTATGTTAGAAACACACCAAACACAGTTTATGATGTTAGTTTTTTGTTAATAATCTTGAAGCATATTTCAGAACGTTTTGTGTGTCTGTCTCTCTAGGTCAACAGCTATGGTTGTTGTGGCATTTGCAGCCTCTGGAGACATGAAGATCTTGTTGGAGGAGCTGTCAAGGGAACCTTCCCCACCTCGCCAGTGGATAGGCACTGAGTCATGGGTAACAAACCCAGACATGCTGAGGTTCACCTTCTGTGCTGGAGCCATCGGATTTAGTATTCAGCAATCAGTCATCCCAGGTCTGAGAGACTTCCTGCTGGATCTGCCCGACACTAAAGTGGCTGCATCCCCGGTGCTGACTGAGTTTTGGGAGGATGCATTCAACTGCAGGCTGGGCAAAAGTGAGAAAGTTGTGTTGATTTTTGACATAGGTGATACCCACAGTTGGTTCCTTGTGGTTGGGTTGTGTTCTTTTGTTGGTTGTGATTGTGGAGCTTTGTGTGTTAAAAAAGTCCACAGATGCTTCAAGAACAAAGCTCTGATTTTTATGAAAAGGGAAATCTTTTGTGAGGTGGAGTCCTGAGGCCCATCTCTACGCTGTAGTGGTTTAAAGATCAAAATGCATAATTCTTCACACGTATCAGTTACAATATATGTAGGTCCAACAAACTATAAGTGAAACAGAAACACATGAGATGGAATAATAATGCAATATCATTGTCAAGGCAAAAAAAAAACACCTGCCTCTTTCCTTTGTTTTTAGGTGCAGCCACAGAGGAGAGTGTGTGTGATGGAACTGAAGACATACAAACACTCAAGAGCCCATACACTGACACATCTCAGCTCCGAATCACTAACATGGTGTACAAGGCTGTTTATGCAATAGCACATGCCATTCATAATTCAGCATGCCAGAAAACAAACTCTACAACTCAGTGTGACAAACACACCAGAGTAGAGTCCAAACAGGTACAGAACAGCACTTGTGTAGTGCTTTTCTCAGCTTGTCAACCAATCAAAGCGCTTTACACTCCAAGCCACATTCACACATTCACTCATACATTCATACAGCGTTTTTTTCTATTACAAACTGCTGATACATTCAGGGTTCAGTATCTTGCCCATAAACACTTGGACATGTCAACTGGAGGAGATGAGAATCAAACTGCCGACCTTCCGATAAGTAGACGATATGCTCGGCCTCCTAAGCAGCAGGCACAATACATTTTTAGTTACAGTTTACCTTTTATAAGATGAAAAATGTATTTTATATTACATCATTTCCATTTTCTTCTTCACTGTCTTACTTTATCCTCACAGGTTCTGACTCAGCTGAAGAAAGTAAATTTTTCCCAAAATGGTTATGATGTGTCATTTGATGCCAACGGGGATCCTGTGGCCACATATGAACTGGTCAACTGGCAAAAAAGTAAGATTGGCAGCATTGAGTTTGTGACAGTAGGGCACTACGATGCATCACTGCCAGTGGGCCAGGAATTCCGTATCAACAGAAACCTCACCTGGGTGGAGGGTAGCACACAAGTGAGGAGCAATAACATAACATCTAACAGCTGTGTAGCAATAATTCATATCTGTGTGAGTCTGTCTGTGTCTATGTGACAGGTGCCTGTGTCAGTGTGTACTGACAGCTGTCCTCCAGGAACCCGAAAAGTGCTGCAGAAAGGAAAACCCATCTGCTGTTATGATTGTATACCATGTCCTGAGGGAGAGATTAGCAATGCCACAGGTAAAATAGGTTGATGTTTTCTGATGCATATCTACAACCTCAAATATATGACTGCTAAAATTCATTTTTGATTTATTTTTTCAGATTCCCCTGATTGTTTCCCTTGCCCCAAAGAGTTCTGGCCTAATGCAGAGAGAAACAAATGTTTCCCCAAGCCTGTAGAGTTTCTTTCCTTCGATGAGGTCCTGGGAATCATCCTGGCTGCTTTCTCAGTTGGTGGTGCCTGTCTCGCCATGATAACAGCGGCTGTGTTCTTTCGTCACAGGATGTCCCCGATTGTCAGGGCCAACAACTCTGAGCTGAGTTTCCTGCTGCTCTTCTCATTGACTCTATGTTTCTTATGTTCATTAACTTTCATGGGAGCACCCTCTGAGTGGTCCTGCATGCTGCGCCACACAGCGTTTGGCATCACCTTCGTCCTCTGCATCTCTTGTGTTCTTGGGAAAACTATAGTGGTGTTAATGGCCTTCAAAGCCACACTTCCTGGTAATAATGTCATGAAATGGTTTGGTCCTCCACAGCAAAGAATGACCGTAGTGTCCTTCACTTTTATACAAGTTTTAATATGCACTATTTGGTTGCTTCTTAGTCCCCCTTTTCCAATGGAAAACTTAACGGTATACAAAGAGAAAATCATCCTGGAGTGTGCATTAGGCTCAGCTATTGGGTTCTGGGCTGTACTCGGGTACATAGGCCTACTGGCTGTCTTTTGCTTCGTGTTAGCTGTCCTAGCTCGGAAACTACCTGATAATTTTAATGAAGCCAAGTTCATCACCTTCAGCATGTTGATATTCTGTGCAGTCTGGATCACCTTTATCCCAGCATATGTCAGCTCTCCTGGGAAATTTACTGTGGCTGTGGAAATTTTCGCCATTCTGGCTTCAAGTTTTGGACTAATTTTGTGCATATTTGCTCCCAAGTGTTTCATCATATTGTTTCAACCAGAGAAGAACACCAAGAAACATTTAATGAACAAAAATTAGTCTGTGCACATTTAACACAGTTCTAAAGTTCTTCACCAAGTTTATTTGAATATTTACATTTTTTGTTTTTAAAAACTTTAATGTAATTATGTGAATGTCTTTTTGTAATGATTTTGTTTCATTTAATATTAAATAAAGTCAAATTTATTGTAAAAACATGAGTTCTGTCTCAACATTTGAAAAAAAAACAAAAAAAAAGTGCATGGTATGTGCATGCTATCATATTAAAGAGATCATTTTAAAACACCAGCGGCAAAATATTTGTATAATTTCATTTTTTAGTAAAATTTTTCAGTATGTACTGTCACATTTTTCAGTTACAATTCATGTAAAAACCTTTACAGTACATACATGAAAACAGTAGACAATAGTCTTGACAGGAAAGATAAATGGGTATTGAAAAAAAACAGAAAAAAAAAAAAAAAAAGCTTAACAGTTCTAGTAAACAGATGAGTTATGAGTTATATTAAAATACTCTTGAACTAGCTATTCATGGCACAGAGAGAGCATTAATGCATCCTCAGGATCTGTACCTGCAGCCACATGAGAAGGATATAAATGTTAGTGAGTGTTACATGGGTGTGGATTGGTGTTTTTCATCAATTCAAGCTGTCTGGCCTGTGGTTATTTTCCCATTGTTTTTAGAAATGCTTAAAGGTCAGATACCTCTTAGGAAACCCTGGGAGGGAAACTTGGTCAGGCCTACTCCCATGGGGCCTGGTCAGGGTCATTTAAAGGAGCTATTTGTAAGTTTTGCTACTCCTATATAGCCAGTGTTAGCATTAACAGCTGTTCACTTGCCAGTTTAGAAGAAACGTTGCGAGTTCGGCATTGAACTTCAGTTTGTTGCTTGCAAGCGGTGGACATGACCCTCTTCTTTTGCTTCTATTCCTACCACTTCTTTTTTTCTACTGAAGTTAGCATACTCATCAGCCTGGTCGGATTGTCTTGTCACTTTCCGATACCAAGTCACTGTGGTCTGTAAGACTGGTCTTACTGTAACACTGGTAAGTTAGCATATAGCTGTTAATGCTAACATTGACTATGTAGCAATAGCAAAACTTACAAATAGCTCATTTAAGTGTTGCTAGGTGACAGGTAAAAGATGGGTGAAGCATTGAGGTGATGCTTTATCACTTTGTAGTTCCTCGACCCATAATAGCTTTCTTTGTGTTCCTCTCTGGTCTCAGGAGGATTATGTAACATTTGGGTCCAAACAGCGCCACCAAGAGGCCAAAACTAGAGGCCAGGATGGCAAATACCTCCACTGCATCTGCATATTTGCCTGGAGAGTTGATATAAGCAGGGACAAAGGCCACCCACACAGCACAGAAGATCAGCATGCTGAAAGTGATGAGTTTGGCCTCATTGAAGTTGTCTGGAAGATTCCTTGCCAGGAAAGCTAACAGGAAGCTAAGGATAGCCAGTATTCCTATATAGCCCAGTAACACTGCAAAACCAATTGTGGAGCCAACTACACATTCATAAATGATTTTGTCATTGTGGTATTCGGTATTTTTATGAGGTGCTGGTGAGGCAGAAACAAGCCAGGCAGTACAGATTGCTGCCTGAATACATGTAAGAACCAGAACCGTCCCTCTCTGCTGCACAGCACCAAACCACTTCAGACTGGCTCCACCTCCTGGCTTAGAGGCCTTGAACACAGCCAGAACCACCATGGTTTTAACCAGGATGCATGAGACACAAAGCACAAAGCTGATCCCAAATGCTGCATGTCTCAGCTGGCATGTCCACAGTCTGGGTCGGCCGATAAACAGCAGTGAGCACAGGAAACATAGTTTAAGTGACACCAAGAGCAGGAAACTGAGTTCTGAATTGTTAGCACGCACAATGGGTGTGCTGCGATGATGAGTGAAGATCCCTAGGACAATAGCACAGATAAATGTGCCCAGCAATGAGGTTGTCATCAAGCAGATTCCCAGAGGCTCATGGTAGGAGAGGAACTCTGTTTTCTTAGGGACACAGTGGTCACGCTGGGGGCTGGACCAGAAATCCTCTGGACAACTGGTGCACTCCATGGAGTCTATGAAAACAGGATAGATTTTGAGATACTATGTATCTTTTGTCTCCAGCGTATAACAGTTTAAAATGAATACCAACCTGTCCTATTGCTGATCTTTCCCTCAGAACAGGGGATACAGTCAAAACAACACTCAGGTTCCCCCTTCTTTCTGGCCATGCGGGTACCAGGAGGACAGCTCTCACTGCACACTGACCGGGGGGGCTGTAAGCAGAGAAATAATGATCTCATATTGTGTAATTTTTACATTGCAATAATCAGTTATCAACTGGCTAAACAAGGTTAAGGGTTATGAAAAAAGAAGCAGAACCTTTTTTGCCTCAAAGTTCCAGAAGATTTTATTTTCGTCAAGTGTTAGCTCTTCACCTTTTAAGGCTGATTTCTTAACTTCACCCACACTTTGAACTTTAATTTGTCCATCAGGTAGCCACTGCCAGTTCATGACATCGTAGATTGGTAAGGCATTACCATTCTCATCAAATGACACTTGGTCACCAAATGATGTAGTGAAGTTGACTTTTTGCAAATAATGTAAAAGCTATAAATGGACGAGAGAAGACACAGAAATACAAAAGGGACATGACAGACTATCAAAAAAGTGTGGTGATAGACTTGCAAGCCTTTGTTCATCAACTTGTCATACCATTCACATGATGTTGAAGCAAAAAAATAAGCATCTAATTTGATCAAAGCAGTTGAAAACTTGCATGTCCACCATCTATGAAATTAATGCATGATGTTTTTAGCAAGTGCATTGATGTCATACATAATAATGAAGTAGCTGATCATTTTTATGAGCTAATTTTCTTGATGATGTAGTGCATGGTTACAAAAATGAAAAACAGGTGGAGTGTAACTTGTTCACACCTGCCAGGGCTCCAGTCTTTGGAAATGGGCACAGCTTTTGCTGCTGAAAGGCCCTCTCCCTGGCTCACAGCGCAGCATGTTATCGAGGGCATATGCCAGAGCATACACAGCCTTATACACATTGTACTCAGGCCTGAATTCTGCCACATTCAACAACTCACTTTCCACACTTTCTAGATCTTCCTCACCAGTGCATAATGTTCCTCCAGCTTCCATCCAACCTGCTGGAGGTGGAGCAAATCTACACTGAAATGTGTATTCCCAAAACTGGTTGACCTGAAATATATTCAAAACTTTGTGGTATAAACAATGACAATATATTATTCTTGCAAATATCAAATCAGATTGCAAGGTTAAACTCGCACCATGTTATTTCCATGGCTGTTGTTGTGGTATAGGTCAGGACGTATTTGTAAGAGGAATTCCCTGAGTCCTGGTATTTCTCCTCGACGGATGGCAATGCTCAGTGTTCCACCCAGGTACGGCATGAGGTGGGGGGTCTGGAGCACAGCAACTGTTGTCCAGGCTTCACTGGCCATCCACTGCAGGCCTGTCACATTCTGCCTCACCACCTGTACAATGCAAGTACATAAATTCATACTGCCATGACTTAAAAGTAGTACCTAGTTTACACAGTTGATGTCATACACAGGTGCAATCCTGTGTTTACAAAGTATAATAAGTAAGATCATATCATCATATCATCATAAGTGGAGTTCAGTATAATTTAAAGTGATCTCAAGGTTAGCTCATTCAACTGATTACTATTTGGTGTGTTTAGGCCAAATATTGTAAATTACTGAATTAAATCTTTCAGTTTGATAAAACATTAAGTGATTTTATCATATCATGGTATAATCAACTTGTGTTTCAAGCCCAACCTCTTCCATGAGATCAATCATGTGGCTCTCATGTGCAAACACAATGACCACACGAGCTGTGGATTTCTTCATCACATCCACAATCCTCTTTAGTTCAGCTGGGTTGTCACCCCAGGGCAAAACCTCTAAGTAAGCCAGACAACCTCCACCAGATGGACCCAGGTCAGTTTGAAAGGATCGGGCAGCGTGGAGTCCATAATCATCATCACTGATCAGCAGACCTGCCCAAGTCCAGCCAAAGCGTTTTAGAATCTGAATCATAGCACGCACCTATAAGTGAATAGAGAATTTAAAGAATTGTGTGCATGCTGGAATATTCTTGCACAGAAAATCTGTCTTTGTAGCTGTTTCAGTGGAAACTATTACTGTCATTCAGTTGAATCATTAAGTCCAACTTCACTAATGACACATTAAAACATATTTTGATACATATAAGTTAATCAGCTCCTTTCAGAGGAGAGTGAATGGAACCACTCTCCTTGTGGTAGCATATAATGCATGCCAGTATATATTTCAAGTTCTTGTTTGCTGCTTGAGTTTACCTGGAAAGTATCACTTGGTATTGTTCTGAAGAAGGATGGAAAGCGTTGCCGATCACTGAGGCACGAACATGTGGCAAAGTAACTCACCTGTGAGAGACATGAGGGGGGTTAATTTCTTGCAGTGTAGTTGACCCATTAATCAGGGAATTTCACTAAAATACAACACATCAAAACCATTCTCTGATGGAAAGAGGAAAAACATTGAAAATGAGAAACTTACAATGGGCAGTTTGTATAAACCTGTCACACTTGACATGGCAATTGTAAATGTTGAATATACATCACCCACGATCCCCAGGACTGGAGGGGCCCCCACACAGATTTCATTCAAAATAAACTGCTCCTCTTGACCACTGGCCAGTGACAATGAAGCACGGAATCCAATTCCAAGTGAGGCACAATTATCATACAGACTGTATCCCAGAGTCACATTAGGTAGCAGGTTTGAGTTTTTGTTGATCTCATCAACAGCAAAGGCCATGGTCAAGGCATGTCTGAACCCTGGAGGGTCGAAGCTGGCACCAAAATGTCTCCATTAACAACCAACAAAGTATCAACAGCATGGCCTAAATGTACAAATTACCCAGGCCTTGTTACACATAAATCATCTCTCCAGAAATCTTGTTTTAATATATCAACATTTATACAGTAAAAATATTTATGTCAGCACAGCACTGTCATGTGATTTTAAACATTCTGGGCTAAGTAAAAGTAATCAGCACTCTTTCCTGCTGTATGTGTGCGAAACTCACCCCTCGCAACGTGGTTGATTTGGCTCTGAGGTGAAGGAAAGCTCTGGGAAGACAGATGTGTAGTGGACTTCAAACAGCCCACCCAGAACCACATCGCCAGTCTTGTGCATCCCATTAAGATGAAACTTCCTCCGTAATTTACAAGACGAGGAGAGGGAGGAAAGCACAGGCAGTAAGAAAGAGGAGGACAACAAAATCAAGACACACAAAAGCAGGTGTGTGTCAACAACTGCCCCCATAACTGCCCTCCTCCTTTCACCCCTGTTTCTAAGCCTTTTGCACAGTCACTTCATTTTATACACAGAACTATGTCATCCCCTTCACCCATTTACGTCATTGTTTGTTTAATCATTTACATCACCCATTGTGGCAAGTGATGTCGAGACATGGAGGCCCTAATACTCATTAAATAGCCAAAATGTCACATTTTTTCAGCATATATATATATATATATATATATATACTGTTGCTCATAAAGTTGGAATAAAATATTTTTTTCCTTTTTCCATGAAATGATTGTGACAATGTGATTTATTTCATTTCACCTGGGTAATTGGGACACATAATGTAATCATTGCACCTGAAAACAAAATTATTCCAACTTTATGGGCGACAATATATATATATATATGTACAATATGATATAATATGATATGATATGATATGATATGAACAATATGATATTATATTAAGGACACATTAAAAATGTTGTAATAATGTTCTAATGTTTCAAATGGCCAAAACATACTGACTCATACAGTGACAGTTCAGCGACTTAATAATCCAGTTTATTTTTTATAGACAGCCATTGTTACCTGGAGCGTAATTTCTGCTATGAACATGTCCACTAGATGGTAGCAGTAAACCAAAACGTTTTCTGAGGTCTCAAATTTAAGGATGAGTGGCAACTATTTTTAAAAATAAGTATAACTATGGTGGTATTAATTTCTCAAACATTACCAAAACGCCATTATTTCCTCCTACTATTTAATATTTCCTTGATTGTTTGATGTAAGAGTCAGTACATTTCTGAGTTCCTCACAATCAAAAATGAAAAATTAAAATGTAATTGTTCAAATTGATTTAAATTATTTAGATTCCCAGGAACTGATTCTTCATAGTTCTTATCATCCTGTAATTTGTGCTCTCCATGGTAACTTGGAGTTGTTCAAGTGTTGGCTTTGCATTTTAGTATTTCAAGGTCAAATCACACAAAGTGAACTCACACCCAAAAGCTAACAAATCACACCTTGCTCATTCTTTTCCTTTTTGTTTTTATTATAAGTTTGGGATAAAACTGTGGTCATTAAAAAAAAAAAAACCCAAAAAAACAGAGGGGGAAAAGAGCACGACTTTCCTTATTTTACGGCCGTCCTGTCAAGAAAGACAGACACCAACACAGTTGAATATGAGATGTGCACATGCGCCACATCTTGTCTTCTCTCCTGTGCCTTTGCTTTGCATTGTCATGACGTGATAACTCACATGACCAATGAAATGAAGCAAGTGTTGCAGTTTATATAGTCTACTCCATTAGCCTTCCAGAGACTGTATTTGGAGAACCATTGTCTCCAACAGACACACAGTCTTTATGGGGTCAGTATGGACATTGCATTCAACCCTGAATGGGGCTTCTCTGTGGCTGCTTGTTTGGACCTTATTTAGCCTCCTTTTTCCAGTGTTTTCTGATGTTCCTAAAAGTGTGAAGAAAAAGAAAGAACTAAGTTTGGAGGGAGGTGTGGTGAGAGAACAAGAGAATTTCACAGAAAGACTGAATGGTTTGGGGATACAGGGAGCGAGTGCTTTTGATTCTCATTTACCTCCGTGTGTGAAACTGATAGACAGTGAGTCTGTGGCCCTGCAGGCAGAAGGGGATTTTGTGATTGGTGGGTTTTTCCCTCTGCATTATGTGGCCCCTAAGCCACAGCACAGCTACTCCAGCAAACCTCAGCTCACACCTTGCAGCGGGTGAGTGTGAGGATACAAATAAGTGGCAAAAATTATTTTCTCTCGCCTTGATTAGATGCACTACACTATTTGCATGTTCTAATTTCTATAGTGTGTTATGATGCTGTGTTTTCTAACTCATGATGAATTGTAGCTTTGACCACAGAGCCTTCCGCTGGATGATGACCATGGTGTTTGCAGTGGAGGAAATTAATCGTGATTCAAGCCTGTTACCAGGTGTTAAACTGGGCTACCGGATCATGGACAGCTGTGACCATGTCCACACCAGCATGCAAGCTCTTTTTTCCTTAATCAGCCACTCCAAAGGTTTGACAGCTCCGGTGAAACAGATAGAGGAAACTGGAAACAGATTAAATATGGCAAAGGACAAAGGCACTAGAATGGAGATAGTAAAGACAGTAGAAAAAACAAGAAAGAAAAGGATGCTGACCACAGTGACAAATAGAAGTGCTGAGGGTAGCGCAGTGATGTCTCGCTATCTGGAAAATAATAGAAATTACATAATAGAAAATGTGACAGAGGAGAGAATGGATATGAATATACCATCTGAGACTTTGCCCTCATGTCTGACTGGTTCTCCTGTGCCTGCTGTGATTGGTCTTGCATCCTCTTCCCCTACAAGAGCTGTAGCTCACACTCTTACCCCTTTCAACATCCCACTGGTAAGACAGGAATGAAAGGCAGGATCATGCACAGTCCTTTATTTTTACATTCCTTCCTTCCACCACTTGGTTTTTGTAAGAAATCACACAGCTACATTTAAAAATGTTCAGTGATGTTTTGTTCTGGCCTCTGTTTCATCTCAGTAAAAGTGAAGTTAAATTTTTCTCCTTCTAGGTGAGTTATTTTGCCACTTGTACCTGTCTGACTGACAAACATGTGTACCCATCATTCTTGCGGACTGTGCCGAGTGATCTCTTTCAAGTTAGAGGCCTGGTGCAGTTGGTCACTTTCTTAGACTGGCTCTGGGTGGGAACAATAGGGACCACAGTGAGATAATTTTTAATTTTTTTAACCCCAACATTAGTAAGTTAAACACACCAACATAATTATTTATATATATGTATATACAAAAACAATTTCTCTATATATTTCAGGATGACTACAGTCAGTATGGCATCCAAGCTTTCTCTAATCAGTTTAGACAGCAAGGTGGGTGTGTGGCATTTCATCTGACTATCCCCAAATCACCCACAGCAGCTCAGGTACGAGAAATGGCAGACAGGCTGCAGAGTTCAACTGCACAGGTCATGGTGGTCTTTGCCACAGAGGGACAGCTCCTGGATCTGCTCTTAGAGGTAAGCACTCTACATCTCAGTTAATGTATATAGGCATAAAATATGACATATTTTGCAGTATTTAACCTGATAATTAGGAATGTCAAAAAAAAAAAAATGTTTGTGCTCATTTTAATCACCATCAAATTACTTTCAAATTGCCTTTCCAGCTGGCTCAGAGAAATGTGACAGGGATCCAGTGGGTAGCGAGTGAAGCTTGGGTGACCGCCAGCCTGCTGACCTCACCGGGCTTCCAACCTCTCTTAGAGGGCACGCTGGGCTTCTCCTTCCCTGGAGTCAGAATCCCGGGCTTGAAAGAGTTCTTGTTGAACGTGCGCCCCTCTCCCGAACCAGGGATGGAATTTGTCAACATGTTCTGGGAAGAGCTGTTTGACTGTAGGCTAGACTTTGGAGGAAACAGGTCCGAAGAAAATGAAGCACATACTGTGGATAACTTGATGGGATTGGATGATTTTGGTTACAACCCAGACTCTCAAAATAATTCTTGGTCCTTGGTTGGGCCTTTTGCAGGACAAAAGAGCACATTTAAAGGGTCAGACAGTGAAAAGCCTGTATGCACAGGTTCAGAGGATCTGAGGTACACTGACAGCAGTTATACTGATGTATCTCAGGTCAGAATATCCTACAATGTGTACAAAGCTGTATATGCCATCGCCCATGCACTGCACGATTTACTGAACTGTGATTCTGCAGAACTTAAGAAGGGAATGTGTGAGAAACGGAAATCATTCACTTCTAGGCAGGTGAGTTAAACACTACAAAACATACAAATCGATGTTCATGTGTTTATGTATCATTCTTTTGGCCTGTTGTTCTCTGCTTCCTCCGTTCATTCAGTTGCTGGATCATCTAAAGACAGTAAATTTCACTAACCAGTTTGGGGAGAAGGTATATTTTGACTCCAACGGAGAGCCGGTCCCTCTGTATGACATCATTAACTGGCAGAAGGACATCAAGGGTGAAATTAGGTGGAATATTATACCTATAAGAACACACCTGTCTGTAATCATGATCGAAAAGTTTTATTTATGTTTATTGTGGCTGTTAGCATTCAGCTGAGTAATGATTAGAAACTGCATTTTCACTGTGTTTAGATTTATCAAAGTGGGAAGCTATGATGGTTCGGCTCCACTGGGACAGCAGTTGCAGATGGAACAGAGCACCATTGTATGGACAAAAGGCCAGTCACAGGTGGGTCATATGTCCCCTACAATGATTTTATATACATCTTAAAAATTATTTACGTTTCTTTATGGGATACAAAATTTAAAAAATGGCATTTTTCTTCTATAAAAATGAATTAGTTTCAATAAGTGTCTTTTGTGCAGAAAGAAATTCTACACCATTATCTGGTCTTTGTCCAGGTGCCTGTATCTCAGTGCAGTGCTCCATGCCCCTCTGGTAGCAGGCAGGCCAGACGTCCACGAGAGCCTCACTGCTGCTTTGATTGTTTGCCCTGCGCCGATGGAGAGATCAGCAACCAGACTGGTAGCCCCTTTATGTTTTCTTTATTCATGCATTTTACAACTTCTGCCAGAAGCAGAAGGCCTTACAGGCATAGAAATGTTGCAAAACTGGAAAGGCATGGAGGCATACTGATTGGATGCAAACGGTTGTTGTTGTGTAGGAAAGCATCTGTGTCGGCTTACACAGTATGTGTCTTACTATGTGTCCCCAAAGGTTCCACTGAGTGCACTAAATGTCCTGAATTTTACTGGTCAGACAAAGACAAGGTGAAGTGTATTGCCGGGGTTGAGGAATTCCTGTCTTTCTTCGACACCATGGGCATCATCCTGGTCATACTCACCCTGCTGGGTGTTGTCCTGACAACCATCATCACCACTGTCTTTCACCGTTTCCGCTTTACACCCATCGTCAAGGCCAACAACTCAGAAATAAGTTTCTTACTTCTCCTGTCACTCAAGCTCTGCTTCTTGTGTTCCCTGGTGTTCATTGGCCGGCCGTCTGCGTGGACATGCAGGCTCCGCCAGGCAGCATTTGGGATCAGCTTTGTCCTCTGTCTGTCCTGCCTCCTTGTTAAGACCATTGTAGTTCTCTTGGCTTTCCAGTCAAATGTACCTGGTTCCAGGGCTCTGAAGTTGTTTGGGCCGTCTCAGCAGAGGACTCTCATCCTCTGCACTACAGCTCCTCAGGTCAGAGGGTTATAAAAGCACAACTAATCTTATCCTCAATTTGTGACCATTGAAGAGTTTAATGGGTTTTCTTTAAGAAATGCCTATCTTCTTATGTTGCCTTCAGGTTTGTCTCTGTGCTGGTTGGTTGTTGGGCGCACCTCCCTTCCCATTCAGGAACCCGACCTATCAAGCCACAACTGGAAAAGTAAGGAATACATGCTTTAATGGCACCTTAGTCTTTGGTGCCTATGCTGCCAAAAAATGCTCAAATCCTACACATAGGGGCTTTCAGGTTTATTAGTCAATTCAGACAGAAACTAACTATTCAAATGAAATTTGTTATTTCACACTCACTGTGAAATTGTGCTATATGTCTTAATGTTTTAATTATGTTTTAATATTAATTGATCTGCTGTTGGACATAATTAGATTGTTGTGGAGTGTAAGGAGCCATGGCCTCCTGGATTTTACCTGGTCCTGGGCTACATCGGCCTACTGGCCTTCCTCTGCCTCCTCCTGGCGTTCCTCGGACGCAAGCTACCTGATACGTTCAATGAGGCGAAGCTCATCACTTTCAGCATGCTGATCTTTTGGGCCGTGTGGATCTCTTTCATCCCAGCTCATGTCAGCTCCCCTGGGAAGTTCACTGTGGCTGTGGAAATATTTGCAATATTAGCCTCCAGTTTTGGACTGTTATTGTGTATTTTTGTGCCCAAATGTTACATAATCTTACTGCGGCCTGAAAGAAACATTAAGAAAGGCATGACTGGAAAATATCCCAGATGAACTTCACACATGTTGCAAGTAGTCATTTTAAATACCCATTAAGCAAACAGAAACTCTTGCTTTTTAATTTGAGATCATGAAAATACATTTTCATAGTGATTTTTTGAATTTGAATATTTGAAAGTGAAACAAAATAAAATGCCATATGAAACGTGTTTCCATGTGTTAATGTTAATAATATGTTTCAAGTTGGGACCTGACTGTAAATCTGCCTCATTTCTGTAAACACTTGACACACTGTGTCCCAATTCATGGGCCACATTCTTCAGATGCTGTATTTTAAGACCGATTATGTCACTGCGGCGCAACTAGCCTGTCCCCTTTAAATGTGGCCTTCTTTTCCCGGGTGGGTTCTTTGTGGCCCAACTTATCCCATTCATTGCGCACTGGTAACGAAAGCAAACAACACAAGCATTGGGTTTCAGCTCAGTTCAACAGTTAAATGTGCAAGTGTTAAAACCAAGGGCCTTAAAACGTCAAGTTTTTGTCACATGCTGTCAAGGTTGCTAGGCAACAGGAACCGCACTTTGTGACACAACAGCACAGTTGGTGAGGCAAAGCAAAAATCCTTTGGGTTTTGGCCTTCGCAGTCTATGACGGCCATGTCCTGAATTGGGACTTAGGAACTTACTACAATGCAAACAATATGAGTAGAGTGAATCTATTTCATCCATTAACTATATCCTCTTATCCATGAGGGTTGCAGGGAGGGACATGGGGTTAAGAATAAGATAATAATCTGAACAAAAGTATGATCTTTGTGATCTTATTCACAGCACTGCATATTTAAAGATGGGGTATAATTACCTGCTCTGATTCACTTGTTGGGCATGTAAGCCTTATTTTTTCTGGGACCTGCTTCAACACCTTCCACTTCATAAAACATCAATAATCACATCAGTCATACACGTTGTAACTGCAATGATACTTTGACCCAAACCTTAAATCATTGCACAGAGGTGGCCACATTTACCCCTTTAAACCTCTTGTAAAAGATATGTAATAGCTGAACTGATCCGTATGTAGTCTGACCTGATGTTGATGCACAGTTGTGCACTTTTGTTTCTGGTTCTTGGTGTCTGTATCCCTGTGTCATGCCCCCTGGTCGTCCCTGTGCATTTCATCCCAGATCATGGTCTAAGAGCATTGTTTATTTCTTTATTTACTTATGGAAATCTGTTTTTCTCTGCAAACAATAATAAGTGAAAATCACCACACATATTTGTCATTAGTTCCCTAAGGCCTTGTCAGGTTTTGCAAGGTAAGTAGGACTCAAATGCAGCCAACGCATGGGAGACGATGCAGTCAGGTTTATTTAACCACACGTGAACGTGACATGAACAGACAACGTGAACAGACGTGAACAAAACCGGAAGACAACAGACGAACCAACACAGACAAAGGGGAGCACAAAGACTATATAGACACAGGAGGCAAGGTGATTGCACACAGGTGAAACACATTAGGGCGGGGCAGACAATCACTACACAGAAACAAGACCAAGACATGACGCAAAAACACAGACAAACAAGGAACCAAATTACAAACTAAAACAGGAAGTGCAAGAATCTCCAAAACAAAACTAACAAAAAGTGTCTGCCATAACAAAACATGACAGGCCTGACCATGTTACAACACATTAGCACACAGTATTTTGTAAATGTCCGTTGGGACAATCATGAACCCACTGACCGTGGATCAGCTAAAACTCAGGTTCATGGGTGTGGCAGGGTAGAAGATCAGCAGAATACAAAAACTGAGGCTCAGAAACTTCAAAGGACACTGACCTCATCATCAACATCTTTATTTCTTAAAAATATATACTAAAGTGAAACCCTTCATGTAATTATACCTATTTATTTCCTTGTACACTGTACTGCATTTGCAATGTTACAATATATAACTGTCACTGCCCAGTCAATACAAATGTGAAATACATCAACATTTGTGTGGATTACTTTTACATATCATTAAACATTGAATATATTTTTTTTTAAATGTTAACCTATGGCATAGAACAAACAGATAAATAGTCTTCTTGTTAAATGTGAGGCAAAGGACGACCATGCACCTGATACATTGCTCTGAGTACTTTGGAGTTGTGCACGTTACCATAGCTACCATAACTTATGGCATATCACTTCTTTTCTTTTCCCATTAGGTGCTGTTTTGTGTTCTTTTCTGGCTTCAGTACAATAATGTAACACTTTGGTGCAAACAGGCAGAACAACAAGCCAAAGCTGGAAGCCAGAATGGCAAATGACTCCACTGCATCTGCATAATTTCCAGGGGCGCTGATATAAGCAGGGATGAATGCCAGCCACACAGCACAGAAGATCAGCATGCTAAACGTGATGAACTTGGCCTCGTTGAAGTTGCCCGGCAACTTGCGGGCCAGAAAAGCCAGTATAAAGCACAGACAGGCCTGTAGACCAATATATCCCAGAACGCACCAGAATGCCAGGCTAGAGCCCACACTACACTCCAGGATGATCTTTGAGCGTTCGTATTTTGTATTTCGGGAGGGAGAAGGGGGCGCATCAATGAGCCAGGCAGCACAGATAACCACCTGAACCAGAGTGCAGCTGAAGATAATGCCCCTCTGCTGCTTGATCCCCAGCCATTTCATGATGTTGGCCCCTGGCCTGGTAGCAGTGAAAGCAGCCAACACCACCAGTGTCTTCCCCAGGATGCAGGAGATGCAAAGTGAAAATGTGATGCTAAAGGCAGTGTGGCGCAGCATGCAGGACCAAGATGTTGGCTTTCCAATGAAAACCAGAGAACACAGGAAACACAGAGTCAGCGCAAACAGGATGAAGAAGCTAAGCTCAGAGTTATTCACACGAACGATGGCTGTATTTCTGTGATAGAAGAAGACTGCAAAGACAGCGAGGGTGAGGCAGGCACCCAGCACAGATATCACGGTCAGGGCTATACCCAAGGAGTCAAAGGTCAAGTACTCTACTTTCTTTGGGATGCAGGCTGTTCTGTCTTTGTTTGACCAGAAGTCCTCAGGACAAAATGTGCACTCTATTGAGTCTAAAGGGAAGAGGGTCAAAAAAAAAAAAATGTAATAGAATATTAGGTTTGAATTATTGCAATTTTATTGTTGGGTTCAAGCTTACTTGTCTGATTGCTAATTTTGCCATTGTCACATGGTACACAGTCAAAGCAGCAGACAGGCTCCCCACGACGGACAGCCTTCCTGGACCCTGGAAGACAGCTGGCACTGCATACAGACACCGGCACCTAGGGAGCACAGAGATGGTTTTCAGCTCTACTGTCTAAAATGATTGTGCTGAAGTTATTAGCCACAGAGGCCCTAAAGTCCAGCAGTATATTGACAGGTTGTTACTAATGGCAATTGAGTGTATGTAGCTACATATGAATACTAGCATGTGGTTGACTTTTCACATGTCTCTGTACACTGTATGTAAAACGTAGAATGACATTGCAGTAACTCCAGCCTGAGAAAAATTTCACTAAGGGGACAATAAAGTATATCATATGCTTTATCATGTCTTGTATCATTTCATATCGTATCATACTGTGTCGTGAATTATTTCATTAGTCCATGAACAGGAAAAAGGCAAATTTTGATTGAGCCATTAATCAAGTAAAATGCCAATATTTGCTGGTTTCAGCTCCTCAAATGTTAGGATTTGCTGCTTTTCTCTGTTTAGCATCACTTTAAATTGCATGTTTTCATATTTTTTAATGTTGGTTGGACATAAGCAATTTGCAGATATCACTTATAATTAACAATTATTGATCTTTTATTAATTAAAAAAGATCATAATTAATCACAAAATGTAAGCGAGTAATCCTGAGGCGACTCTGACGGTTAAGAGGATAAGCTATATTTTTGCACACTGAGGACTGCATTACAGTCTGACGCTACTTAACAATACAATGGCAGGTATTAAATCACCTAGTATGTCATACTGTATGGCAGGCTTTGAATCCCTGTTGTTTACTGTATGAATGCAAACAAACTCATGTCAGATCCAGCTTATCCTGCCCCACCTGACTTACCTCCACCTCAACCTACAGAACTTCAACAGTTGGCATCTGATGAAGGTAAAAACACAGTGTGAGCAGCTTGCCTCACTCTGATGCCCCGCCCACATTATCCTGTCCTCCTGGATCACCAGCTCCTCGCCAACAGGCTTGGTTCCGTCAAACAACCCCACGTTGACAAATTCAATGTTCCCGCCTGTGCCTCTCTGCCAGTTGATGATATCATAATAGGGTATGGAGTCACCCTTCAGGTCAAAGTCCACCTCCTCCCCGTCAATGTTAAATGTCACTTCCTGGAGGTAGTATTGGAGCTTTAAAACCAATAGATAATATGAAAAATCTATAAAATACCATATAATAAGATTTTCAGTATAATACTCTAACAGTAAGTAAAGTGCATTATACCTGCCAGGGGTGTATGTCATTGCTTTGAGCACATGAGTTGTTTTGGAAAGGCCCACTGCCCGGTTGACAGAGAAGGAGGTTGTGCAGGGAATGAGCGACTGCATATACAGCCTTATAGACGTTATAGGCCACTCTAGGGCTGGATGTATTCATATAGGCTGAATGCTGCTCCAACAGGGACTCCTGTCCTGAGCAGGGAGGCATCTGGGAGCCAGAGAATGAAGATGGACTGCAGCCATACAGAGCCTCCCACAGCTCTTGCACCAGAAGATTATCGGGATACCTCTTAGGGTTTACTGTCTGCAGGTAGTCGCTGAGTTTGGAGATATGACCTTTTCTGATGCCAAACCCAATGGTTCCCCCCAGGTAGGGGTAATACTCGTTCCCTGTGAAGACAGATGCTGTGACCCAGGCCTCACTGGCCACCCATTGGATTCCAGTGATGTTCTGCACCATGTAGTCTCTCAAGAAAGGAGTCATCTCCCCCTCAGCTGAAAATACCACCACCACTTTTGCAGAAGAGCTACGCATCACCTTTACAGAGTTGCAGATGATGGAGGAGAGGGATTTACAACGAGGAGAGGATGCAAAAAGAAAGCAGGATAAAACTGCATCAATATGAAAGACTCAGAGGTACAAAATGTGAAATAACTAGGTTCTTATAGTCCCTAGATGCAGGATTTTGAAATTTCACAGTCTAGTGAAACCTCATGGTAATATTGACAGACAATACTCCCTTCTCCTCCCCTCTATAGCTGCAGCCCTGCAGTAACAGTAACAGTAACAGTAAGATAAATGGTCTGACAGCAACACATGGACTAAAACAATTTTCTCCTGATTGCTTAATTTTAATGTCACTGATGTGTATTCAGCACCTACTATAGAGGGTCTTGAGGTGAAATAAAACTCTCTAAAGCTGTAAAATGTAATTCAGCATATCTACCTGCATGATCTCCAGTGCCCTCTGGTGATTGTAGAGCAGAGGAATCATTTCTTGGTACGCTACACACACTTTGGTACCCTGTAGCTCTTTCATTAAACCTTGTACAGCAAAGCGGCCATATTCATGGTCCCCTCGCACCAGCCCCACCCAAGTCCAGTTAAAACGCACTAGCATCTGTGCAATGGCCTTTACCTGGGTTCAACAGACAAACAACTTGCTTGGTCTCATAACACAGACACAAAATGAATGACATGTTCAACTCCTGATTCTGTGTAGTCCTTCAAGGTAATATGAGCAGGTAAAATACTTCTGTCATTGCTATTTAAAACTGTAGTTGTGGTCATTAGCTGTTTTTTTGGTAGAGACAATTTTATACCTTATTAAAACTACTCAAAACTACTGCATAAACTTTATTGCTTGGTAATTTAGATAAACAAAGCAAATGGTCTTAGTAGAATGTACTTTAATATGAAGTTAGAAGATACAAGGTTTTCCCTGGACAACGCCAGACAACACAGACATATGTAACATGTAAAATGTCTTTTTACTGCTACACAACTGAATGGTTCTAAAACCCTTTCTAATCTGACAGCAGACTTTTACCTGATAGTCATCATTAGGGATTACTCTGAAGAAGGTAGGATATTTTCTTCTGTCAGTTAAACATGCACACGAAGAGAAGTAGCTGATCTGTGTAAAAAATACAGTACAGAGCACAGTAAAACAGATCGTAGAGTAACATGTTTTAGGGTGATCACAGATAAAAAGAGTCACCATTACCATTGGGATTCTGAATGGCTGCAGGATTCTTGAGACCACAATCGACTGAGCAGATCCAGACTCCCCAATCACAGCGAGGAGTGGAGAGACACTGCTGCACATGGGAGAGTTACCCTCACTCAGCCCATTCAACACAGCCAGAGCAGCCCTCTGGCCGGTCAGCGGATACGCACATGAATCAAAGATTTTATACCCAAGAGTGTAGTTGGGTAATAGCCCGGGACTCTGGTTTATCTCCTCCACTGCCAGCCTCATAGTCTGAGCCCAGCGGAAAGCCCTGGGATCAAATCTGTAGCCCAGTAGACACAGATGCAAATAGCACACACACATTCAACACAGCAAGAGTGGAGAAAGGATAAAATCAGAAACAGAGATGATGATTTGAAATTAGTCTGAACTGCATTTTTGCATTTATCTTGTACAATGTACTAGTGGTAGAGTGTTCTTTTTTTCTTTGTCCATATTGTCCATAGGCCAGGTCAGGACATCACTGTATATTTCTAAACTATCATGTTAAATTATTATTACATTTTAAATACTGATAAATATAAATAAATGCTGCGTAATCCATTCTATATAAGAACGTTTTCTATGCATGTGCAACAGAAATAGACATAATTCAACTGGAAACAATACGTTAAATACTCCTGCTATCATTTTCAATCCACATCTATTAAACTCACCCATTGCACTTCACTGGTGGTGGTCTGTAGGTAGAGTTAAGGTCTGGCATCTCCTGATTATAGTGAAGGGGAAAGATCCCCCCAATGACATAGTCACCATCTGCCACAAAGCTGGGCTGAAAGCTGTTTTGAAGAATGCACACTTTGGCTGCCAACAGGGCTGGAGTGGTGATGCTGGAAACTACAGTATAAGTCAAAGGGAAGACACTGACAGAGTAAAGCAAGGGAAATAAGGCAAGTGGAGTCATAATGTTACACCTCACCAAAGACATAGAGGGAGAGAGAGAGAAGGAGAGAGAGCAAATAATTAGGCAAGTTATATAGAGTATTTGATCGTCTAATTTTTGCATCTTATTAATGACAGAGTGCATCTGGATTGGACGCCAGCAGTCCCGCCTAATTTAAGTGGGTTAATGCAAACTGAATGAAAAAAGTAAATGATGTAACAGTAATGTTTAGCATTGAATGAAACTCATGCGATCCAATTTAATGGTATTTTTGGAGTGTTAAAATCAAGATAGCTAGTAAAGCAGACCCGGCCTCACTCAATCAGGAAATTCTAACAAAACAATATAAACCACACAAAAAAAAAATGTAACTGACACTCTGTCTGTACAGGATGTTACGTCATCAATTCCACTAACCTCTAACAAAATAAAGACAGTTGGCTTCACAGTGTTTGTATAATGGCTCACTTTTCATAATTGGTACAATCTGAAGCTTCTTAATTGGGCTTCAAGTCATGTTTTGTCCCTTTTATATGCATAACTACAGTGATTGGGCTGTGAGCACTGTCAAATATGGATGACCATGCAGCATTAGGCCAGGAACACAATGGCAGTGTGTTGTGGCTGCAGGACGTCTTGGTTTTCATTTCGTCGCCCATGTTAATGGGTAAGAGCGATTAGGCATCTCATCTATCTTTTTTAAAGCATTTTAGCAGCTGCATGTGGAGACAATGGCATTTTATTAACATTGTCTCTCAAAAATAAATCTGAAATTAATTTCTAATGAAAACAATTCCAACTTTCGAGTACCCTGCAAACTTTATGTAGAAAGATAGAATTGGCAGTAGCAGTGACACAGCAGGCATGCAGGCAGTGTGTTCCCGCAGTTATTGTGACTGAAGCCATCCAGTGACAGTGATGGAGGACCAAAGCTGCTGTACTGCTGAAGAATAGGAATAATGCCATAGTTACAAAACCTGTGACTACTTAATTTGCTTCAATCATTATAATTTTACATTTTGTTTACTACAACTTAATAAACTTATCAAAAAAAAAAAAACTGAACACAGAAAAGAAATATAAATCACACAGTATGTCAGTAAGAAGCAATACTCTTAATGTATACACTATTCACCTCACATGAGATCATAAGGTACCTTTAATGATGTCACAGATACTGTATCTGGGCGGTCCCCTCAAATTTATGTGCCCTAACTACAGTATATAAATCAGCTGTGTCCTGAAATATCATAATCATTTGCATGTAATCAGAAGGGGAAGCTACTCTTGTATATTCAACCTTGACATTACGGAGCTGGAGCTTTCCTTCAAACCTAGGCCAACCATGGCATTGTGGGCTGCACATCTTCTCATGTTTCTGTTTCTCTTTAGTGGCACATCTAGATCAACTGCTGCTCTGGATAATTGTGTTTTCTTGGGGGAAGAGGAGGAAAACAGTGTGTATGAAGATGGAGATGTAGTTATAGGGGGCTTATTCCCTCTACACTACAGCCCTGTGTATTCTCTTCCAACATACGAAACACAACCGATCCCTAATATGTATAAGTAGTAAGTGGTTATTTGAATGTATGTGATAGTAGATGACTTGTGTAGAACACACAGATTTTATTTAATTTGATATGCGTTTATGTTATTTTAATATATGTATATATTTGTGCTTGGTAATGCACTGCTTTTCACTTCTGTGCAGTTTCAGTGCTCGTGCCTTGCGATGGATTCAGACCATGATTTTTGCAATCAAGGAGATTAACCAACGCAGTGACCTCCTGCCACAGCTCAAACTGGGTTTCCATATCCGTGACAGCTGTGATGACATACCCGTGTCTCTGAGAGCACTGTTGCTGTTGGTGAATGGCCAGCCAGAAAGAGGCCCTGGAGCTGAGAGTGTGAACAGGGACAAAGGTGTAGAAAGAAACATTAATGGTTCTAATTTAATCTGTGCTGCCGTACACAGGACTGTGTCCCCAGTTATCATAGGAGATGCTGGCTCTGGGGTTTCTATGGCTCTGCTAAGAAGCCTGGGTTCTTTCCACATCCCACTGGTGAGACTGCCTGATTGTCTTAGCACTTTTGTTATTAATAATATGTATATTTACCATCTTAAATCAGTCTTTTGTGGTTTCCTTATATTAATGTTGGTAAAGTGTCATATGGTTGCAAAACTGTCGGTGTTCTCTCCAAAATGTCAACTTTTGATGAGTGGAAAAAAACCAGCTCGATTTCAGATTTGTGATTAAAGCATTTGTTTTAGATAACCCAATTGTTATTAACATGATCAAAAATCTAATTCTTTACTAATATTTATAAATTATTATTTCAGAAATGTGAATTCTCTCTCCTTATCAAAACATGAAAATTTTAAATTCTTTTACAAAATTCTAAATTAAGTATTTGTTGCTATTGAATAACAAAATTATATTTTTAGAATAAAACATTTCAAATGCCCATATTTTTAAATGCCCATATTTTAACATTTCAAATGTCTATATTTTGAAATCAGTCTGTCTCAGTTTGACAGACTAGACTCCTTTTTTCATTTCAAATGCAGGGAAAACTGACGCTTGTTCAACAGCCAAAGTGTGCACAAAGTGAACCGTTGTTTGTTGTAATACTAGGTGAGCTATTTCGCATCCTGCAGCTGTCTGAGTAACCAAAGGGAGTTCCCCACCTTCATGCGCACAATGCCTAGTGATGCCTTCCAGATCAGAGCCCTGGCCCGGCTGGTTAGCTATTTCGGCTGGACCTGGGTGGGACTCACTGGTGTGGAATCTGATTACGCTCGCTTTGCCATCCAGCTCTTCCTCCAGGAGTCAGTGCAGTACGGTGTTTGTGCTGCCTACACTCACTTCTACCCTGTAGCCCTGAGTCAGCCGGCTCTAGATGAGCTTCTGGATGTTGTTCAGGTACCACTTTGTCACTATAAACTTCTCATACAAGGGGTAGACATAGAGGGTGCAGACAACATAACATGATCAGAGAAACGTGACCTTTATTTCTGAATATTTGATTCACTAATCCTGAAAACTACATTTCTACAAATCTATTGTTGTCTCAGGAATACTGCCCTTTGTTGCTTTGTTGCTATTATGGGCTGTAGTGTTTAAAGTAGTCACATCATCAATGAGACTTTAGTTTAGGCACACTGAGCTTAGTGCTGGAGCACCAAAACTTAAAAAGTTACCATACAGTTAAGTCATCCCCTCTCTTACAGTTTGTCAACTTAATTTGAAGCATTTCAAATGGAGGCATTTGACTGCATTATCATGTAGAATGTTCCTGTTATTGTTTTTTATTCATTTTTCACCTGTTCATGTGGCAGAATCTACATTATTATGGGTGCTTGAGTATGAACCATATTTCACATAACGTAGACGAGATGCAACACACCATCCCTAAAGGTCTTCAAGCTATCTTAACTTTATAAACTATACCTACATTTTCACCTTTTTAGATGGCGTCATCAAAGGTCATCATCAACTTTTCTGGTGAGTCAGAGATGCAGGGCATTCTGAGAGAGATAAGACGTCGGAATATAACCGGCCTGCAGTGGATCGCCAGTGAGGCCTGGGCCACTGCCACATTGCTCTGGGAAAAGTTTGGGGATCTCCTGATGGGAACACTAGGATTTGCTATCCGGAGAGCTGATGTGATTCCAGGGCTGGAGCAACATCTCACCAGTCTCAGACCGTCCAATATTCATGAATCCGCTTTCTTGGCAGAATTTTGGGAGGAGACCTTTAACTGTCGACTGAACGGGTCAGTGAACAACCACTCCCACGGGGTCGACAACTACCATGACAGATTGCCATGTAAAGGCACAGAGAATTTAGAGGATGTTTACTCTCCTTATTCTGATGTGACACAGCTACGAGTGTCCTATAATGTCTACAAGGCTGTGTATCTGGTGGCCCATGCCTTGCAAGATATGAGTTACTGCAAAGTTGGAAAGGGCCCTTTCCTTAATAGCACCTGTGCAGACCCTAAACATTTTAAACCATGGCAGGTGAGACAAATTCCAGGTGAAATATTATTTTTAAGTCAAAGTTTTATAAACGAAAAAGAGAAAGCAAATGCACCATACTCTGTGTTTAGATAACCTGCTTCTCTTCTTCCCTCAGCTCATCCACTACATGAAGCGTGCTAATTTCTCTGCACTGGGGGCGAAAGTCAACTTTGATCAAAACGGTGACCCCATTGCTTATTATGATCTAATGAACTGGCAGAGGAGTCCTGACGGCTCACTACATTTAGTTAAAGTAGGTTTCTATGATGCCTCATCGCCTGCTGGATACAGCCTGGTCATAAACGATTCAATGATTCAGTGGCCTGTTGGGAAGCAGGTGTGTTCTCTGCAAACAGGCTTGAGACCATGTTCACCTCTCAGACTGTTGTATGTACTGTTGATCAACACATCAGCTAGTTTGTTCTTATTAGTGTGCAATATACTTTATTGTTAAACGAGCACAAGAGAATGTCTCTTTCAAATATAACAGTTTCAAGCTGATATGCATTCCATATGAATATTTTAAATATAAACCCCATAATGACACAATATTGTGATAGCAATTTGCATATTTTCCCCTTCAAGAGTTAAATATGTGAATGGTTAGTGATTACAGAGTGAATCTGTATTTTACAAATATAATTTATTAATGTATTAATGAAAATTACATTTGTAGTACAGATCTAAATTTCATAAGAATTTATACAAAAAAAAATCAGATTACAGCTCAAAAATGCATTAATTATGTTTAATGTTAACTATGGTGTTACATCTGAGAAAGGCATTAGCATTTCTTTGTTGATCATCTACTCATCTATAACACTAATATCCTGTTCTAATCCTGTTAATTATTTATTAAGAATTATATTCAGCTTTAGCTGTAACACACTTTTGGGTCACATTGGATTTAGTTTTCAAGACTATTTATACACCTTCAAGTCTGTATCTAAAGTAGAGGCCACAGAGACCTGTACACTGTAGCACAGACAGAACTGTATAGTGATATTCTCTGAGTGGCTGAACTTTGCCTCTCAGGCTTCCCGGTCTGTATGCAGTGATAGCTGTCCTCCAGGTTCACGCATCGCTAGGAGAAAAGGGGAACCCATCTGCTGTTTCGACTGTGTCCCCTGTGCTGAGGGAGAAGTCAGTAATAAGACTGGTGTGTTCAGTCTTTTGTCACCCTTTCTCTTGCATTATCCAAATGTAAACTGGGCTGATAATCTAAATGTGGCTTCACTAAATGAAAGAAAATTATCTTCTCTCTCTATCTGCAGATTCTTTAGAGTGCTCCCGCTGCTCAGAGGACACATGGCCCAATGAAGTCAGAGACCACTGCATCCCAAAGACTATTGAGTACCTATCCTACCATGAGTTAATGGGTATGGTGCTTTGTGTTGTATGTGTCCTCGGAGCTTGTATTTCCCTCTCCATCCTCGCCATATTCTTCACATATAGAGACACACCCCTGGTTCGGGCCAACAACATGGAACTGAGCTTTCTCCTCATGGTGTTCCTTTCTGTCTGTTTCCTTGTTGGCCTGCTGTTCATTGGTGAGCCTTCAGACTGGCTTTGCCGTATCAGGTACCCCGCATTCGGGATCAGTTTTGCCCTCTGCATTTCATGCCTCCTGGCTAAGACAGTAGTGGTCCTAATGGCTTTCAGGTCCACATTGCCAGGAAGTAATGTCATGAAGTGGTTTGGACCCAGTCAGCAGAGAGCCAGTGTACTTTTAGGAACAGCTGTACAGGTAGAAAATCTTTCCAAAAGTTTGCTTTCTAGAAGTATCTTTTCAGCTGTGTCAATTAAGATCCTGTTGTTTTTCCCTCTGCTCAGGTAATCATATGTCTTATCTGGCTGCTCACCAGCCCACCTCATGCCAACAACAACACAGATTACCACAGTGCTATCATCATCATCGAGTGTGTCACTGGTTCAGAGGTTGGCTTCTGGTGTGTTCTTGGATACATTGGCATCCTGGCTTGCATGTGCTTCCTAATGGCTTTTCTGGCTCGGAAGCTCCCTGATAATTTCAATGAGGCAAAGTTCATCACCTTCAGCATGTTGATATTCTTTGCAGTGTGGATTACTTTTATCCCAGTTTATGTGAGCACAGCTGGAAAATACACAGTGGCTGTTCATATTTTTGCTATTTTAGCTTCAGCATTTGGACTTCTTTTTTGCATTTTTGCTCCAAAGTGCTATATCATAATGCTGAAACCAGAAAAAAACAGCAAGAAAAACATGATGCAAAGGTGAAATACATTGCATGTGTTGATAATGAAGTTACATCCTGTGCATTTGGAAAGTCAATTTTTTATTATTTTGTTATATTGCTGCCAACATTTTTTCCCTCATCAATACACTCAATAACCTATAATGGCAAATTTAAAACTGAATTTTATTTACAGATTTATTACAAAAGAAAAACTGAAATATTCCATTGACATAAATATTCAGACCGTTTGCTATGACACTCAGGTGCCTCTCATTTCTCTTGATCTTCTTTGAGATGTTTCTCCATTTTGATTGGCTTGAGGTAAATTCAATTGATTGGACAAGAAATCGAAGGGGTCTGAACACTTTCTGAATGCACTGTATGTGTTTTCATATGAACTATTAAAGATTCAGGCTGGAAATAAGATAAAAAGTTTTGAAAATCTCACTTTAAAAGAGTTTCCTCTACTGATTTAACCATTGAGAGTATGTTACAACTAAATTGAAATTAAACATAGTTTGTTTGATTTTTAAATTTAACCTCTTTTTAAACTATAATATATCCAAAACTATATTGCATACAATATTAATCCATCCATCAATCCATGGTTAGTATTGAAGTTTAAAATATATCAGTTACAGTAAATGATAAAATCATAAACATTCAGAGACAATGACAGAGTTTTATTTATTTCTATTTTCATTGTGGTGACTGTAATTTGGCATCTCAAAATGTCTAAACAATATAGAAACATAGAAGTTTTTTTTTTTTTGATTATGAAAATGTTATGGATGATAACAGGAAGAGAAATAGCTTCAAAAGTATTTCCAAAAAATATTCAAGTGAAAAGTGCAATGGAGTCTTATTTAGTGGTATAATGTGTAAATGTGAAAACTCTTCTTTAATCAAAACAATGACCTGTTTTTATAACTGTATGTGACAGTAGTCAGTGGTGAATTATTAAACATTTTGTATGGTAAATGCATATATGCATGTATTTCATTAAAGCATGTCACCAAATATTATAATTCATATTCTCCTCACACAATTACCAGTTACAACTTAGTTTAACAAAACACTACATACTGTACACACAATGAAAGTCAGTGTTATAAACAATGCATAATACACATTTAATTATCCTGTCAGTTAAAATTAGGATTGAATAATTAAGTTGCATTCATCAATAACTGATAAATTATGAATTCAGTGATAACTGGTGAAGACCATAGAAATCATCCCCATCCATGGTTTTTGCAGATGGTACAGAACATCTTGTGGATTCTACAACGTCATGTGAAGTGCTAAAGAAAATCTTGTTTTACTCATAGAACTGTTTCTTCTTCATATAAAAGTTGGAAGTAACTATAGCATTATCTTTTAAAATCAAGAAATCATATTTTTTTTTGTCATGACATGTTTCTTGGTATTTTTCTCTGGCTTGATCAATATTATGTAACATTTAGGTGCAAAAATACAAATTAATAAGCCAAATGCTGAAGACAAAATTGCAAATGTTTCCACTGCTACTGTGAACTTTCCAGGAGAGCTGACATATGCTGGGATAAAGGTGATCCAGACTGCACAGAATATCAACATGCTGAAGGTGATAAACTTGGCTTCATTAAAGTTATCAGGCAACTTTCTAGCGAGAAATGCCAGGACCAGACAAATTATTGCAAGGATCCCTATATACCCCAGCACTGCATAGAAAGCAGCCTCAGAGCCTGTGTTACATTCTAAAACAATCTTTTTATTGCTGTGTCTGAAAACCATGTCTGGGAAAGGGGGATTTAATTTAAGCCACAATATACATATCACAATTTGAATTAAAGTGCAGGAGCAAACTATAATTCTTTGCTGTGCAGGACCAAACTTTCCTGCAACTTTGTTGCCAGGAAATGTGGCTTTGAAAGCTGTAACAACAACAATAGTTTTTCCTAAGACACAGGAAATACAAAGTGCAAATGTCACACCAAAAGCTGTGTGGCGTAGCATGCATGTCCAGACTGTGGGTCTGCCGATGAAAGTGAGGGGACAGAGAAAACACAAAAAAAGAGAAAACAACAGGAAACAGCTAAGCTCAGAGTTGCTGGCCTTTACCACTGGGGTTTCTCTGTACTTGATAAAAACCATCATCGTGGCCAGTGACAAGGAGGCCCCTAGCAGGGAAACAACTGTGATCGCTATTCCCATTGGCTCACGATAGGTCAGGAATTCAATTGTTTTGGGAATGCACTCGTCTTTCCTCTCACTGGACCAGTATTCCTGTGGACATGGTGTGCAGTCTGCTGCACCTGTTGAGAGTAAATAGAAAGTATGAGTTATGCATCTGGATTTCATGCTTGCAGGAAATTACATTATTAAATAGTGAATAAATGTGATGAATTTTAAAGCAAGAAAATTCAACATGATGCAGTAACACTGACCCTTATATTGTAAACATAAAATATATGCAAACACTATATACATGATACTGGACTGTGTATGTTTGGTTTAGTATGGCATACATGCTTTTGACACACGTCTGTCTACCTGTTAAGTTGGCTATAGTTCCATCAGCACATGGGATACAGTCGAAACAGCAGGTGGGTTTTCCTTTGATTTGAGCTTTCCTAGTTCCAACTGGACAAACATTAGAGCACACCGATGACGGAACCTGAGGAAAAGAAGTTTAGAGCAGCCATATTCAGTCTCTTATAACGGGACACATAGTTGAGAAGATATTAATTAAAATATCATTACAGGAAAAAAAAGTCTTCATGATTACCATTTTCCCTGTCCTCCACACTATTTCTTCCTCCTGGATGCTGAGTTTATAATCACCATTAGCAGCAGAAGCAAAATGACCCAGTGTCACATGTTGCACCTGCCCATCTCTCAGCTGCCAGTTAATAATGTCATAAGAAGCAGGAGGGTCGCCATTCTCATCAAAGAACACATTGTCCCCAAACTGATTTCTGAAATGTACCTTTTGCAGGTGAGCAGTGACCTGAGCAAAAGAAAAAGATGAAGTGTTCATATCAACTTCTCTTTAAGTATTTGCAGACAGTTATTTGATTTATTTCTTACCTGTTCCGGCTGAATTTCTGATATATTCAAACATGGCCTCACTGGTTTTTCTCCAGCTGGTTGGCAGAATACCAGCTGGTGTAGGGCATGTGCAATGGCATAAGCTGCTGTATACACATTGTAGGACACTCTGAGCTCTGTGACATTGAAGAACACATCCTGGGAATTTAGTAATGTCTCATTGCCTGTGCATTTGTCATTCGTTGCCTCAGTACCTGTGCGCTCCCCAGGTAACACTGGTCTACAGCCCACCATAACTTCCCAGAAATCCCTCACAAAGGCTGCACCTGGATCTGTGTAAGGGCTAATGCCTGTGAGGAAAGGTTTTAGATTTGGGATAGCCATCTTCTGCACCACAAATCCTAAGGCTCCACCAAAAGCTTGGTAGATTTCAGGTGTGGAGGGCCGTGGTGCTGTTATCCAGGCCTCACTAGCAATCCACTGAATTCCAGTAATGTTCTGTTTTACTATCTCTTTCATCAGGGGATAAAAGTCACCCTCAGGAACAAAAGCCAGAATGACTTTGACAGTCGACTGCTTGATCATTTCCACAACATCCAGAATTTTATCCATAGGGTACGTGCGTAGAATTGTCCCGACAAATGCAATACAAACCCCGAGCTTTTTCACCTCCTCACTGAAAGCCTGGATCCCATTTCGACCATAGTCATTGTCTGACTGTAGGGTCCCGATCCACTGCCAGCCAAAACGTTTGACCAGTGCTGCCAAAGCTTTTGCCTGGAAGTAGTCGCTGGGGATTGTCCGAAAGAAAGTAGGGAATTTAGCTTTGTCACTCAGGCAGGCACATGTTGAGAAGTAACTTACCTATAAAGAGATCATCACAAGAAATCTGAAAGAATACTACAAGCAAACTCAGCAAAAGTACCAGATATTGTAAATCACAAATGCAATAAAACATCATTTAATCTCTTACTACTGGCACTTGAAATGGTCCAAGAGCTCCAGCCACAGCTAACGACTGAGACGAACCTGACTCTGCTATGAGGGCAGATATAGCTGGAGGACAAGGGGAAGTTGATTTTATCTCCTCTGGTCCACTAGCCAGTGTTAGTGCAGCTCGTAAAGTATTTGTTGGAGATGCACAAGAGTTTAGGATCCTGTAGCCAAGAGATATGTTTGGCAGCAGAGCAGACTCTTTGTTGATTTCTTCAATTGCAAAAATCATCACTTGGGTCCATCGAAAAGCCCGCAGGTCAAATCTAAAAAAATTGGGAGATTGAAACAGGTCTTAAATCAAAGAGCTGTTGCTGTGCATGTACATACAAAGGCAAGTTTACAAGAGTGAATAAGCAAGTGTTAAGGATGGAAAAGGCAGCTGTGTTAAAACTTACCCTGCACACTTCACTCCAGGTGGCTCCCTTTCGAACGTAGAAGTGCTGCTGATCTCTTTGTTGAAAACTGGGAAAATCCCCCCGATCATTATTTTTCCCTGCTTGAACAAACTTGGCATTTCAAACCTGCTGAATAGTTCACAGCCAGAAACTCTGTTCATGGAGAGAACAGACAAAGACAAGAGAATAGCTCTCTGCATGTTTGCTCTGCAGTTTTTTTTTTTTCAAAGGAACGAGGACGCAGCTATTATAACAGCTGCGTCAAATACAGGTAGACATGCTCTCTTCATAAAAGGTTGATTTATTTCCCGCAGGACACAGCAATCTTAGATTGGTAAGACTAGTAAAGCAGGGAAGGGAAATATTGCCATATTCATGGCATCAGTAATATGTTTTCTAAAATGCACATACACACAATCCCTCACAAATTGTATAATTTGGCAAACCCACTCATACATCTTATAGTGTTAATGTGAGCAATGTATGGAGTATAGTACCTAAAACTACTTTTGGTGATATTATAAGTCACTAGCAAGAGCTACATATACAAAATTGGGACTAAATCCCTCTAGAACAAACAAGTAAAAACATGTTCAGTGCTACAGTACAAGTTTTTTTCTTTCTTTCTTTCTTTCTTTCTTTCTTTCTTTCTTTCTTTTGTGTTGTCTTTTTGGCAAAATGTGCTAAAACAGCTGCAACCTGGAGGATTTTTAGGTGCAGGGCCAAGAAAGCTTTGTCTCATTGGCCAATGCAAGTGGGTAAATTTGGCACAATATAGTTATAATAAATTACATGAAATAAAAATGATGTCATTGACTTTTAGGTGCTTGTCATTAATTTATGGCATAAACAAAGGTCATGCACAATCTTATGTACAAATTATTTGGCAACGTAGATAGTACTGGTAAATCCCACCAAAAGCTGCATACATAGGTTTACTTTTAAAATATGGTGACTCTGGTTCAGGAGTGCATTTGTACTTGTTGAGAATTGATGATGTTGATGAGTTTAACTTTATGTGATATGTATTTGTATTGCACCTTGCACCAGAGAGGTCTGGTCAGGCCAGCTGGACATCCTGCATAAATGTTATGTGCATTACATTTAATGGCTTGTGGAACAAATGAAAATTTGGTTTTGGTGAATAGATGGGGACAATATCATCACCCAGTTGGCAACACACACAAATGCCAGCATGAAACGCAACAGAGCAGCCACAGAGCAGCAAAAGTGTCGTCTAAAAGCACATTGTATATAAATGTGATTATCAATATAGTTATTAGAGACAATAATGGCATAATGACAATGATATTTTTGAATCTGTATTATAGGTGATAAAGAAGAGGCCTGAGGATGGGGAGTGTGTGAACAGTGAAACTTAGGATAATGAAATGATTAGAATCTAACTCATCCATTAAACATGATTCATTCAGAGGGATCTATGCTAACGTTGCTGATACCTGGCTTTATAAGCATTAATCAACATATTAATCATTGTTAGGTACATATAAAGAAAACATTTCTTACTGCTACTCATCTGACCAGAGTGTCTGATTGATCAGCAGTAACATTATTTATATCTCAAGAGCTGCACATGGCACCACTTCATCTGATTCCTCTTTTCATGCTCTTTTCAGGTTATAGGCTATTCTAGCTACCTGTATGTGTGCGCAGCAGTGATGGCAGAGCAAAAATTTCCAGATCTCTGTATCATTTTGAAGGAACTCTACCGAAACAGGTTTATTGTTTTGACATCCTTGATACAGTTAACATGGTGACATCTGCTGGGCAACATTTGATTGTACATTTATGAGAAGATTAATTCAGACACCTTGTGAAACAGTGATTAAAAATATAAATCACCTCACCCCTGTTGTCTTTGATTATGTTAGTCAATAACATAAAATTGTGAAAAGATTTAATGGCAACATCAACGCATAAATCCAGAAAAAAACATCCAGAAAAAGTTTAACTCAAATGTGTGACCATGAGTGGTGATAAGATTACACGGCAATCTTGTTGAAGTCCATGGTAATGAGGGGGCAACTCTGTAAAGACGAATACAGAAACAATATTGAGTGAGGTACCTTATGGATGCTGCACTCAATGGGAAAGGTAATGTCTACGTCTATGTACAATCTTAAAAACACATCTTTTAGGAGCCACTGAGTTTATTTATGCTACCTTTCTAAAGGATATTTTAACAGCAGCTGTTGTTTCTTCTTTACAGTATTATGTTGCCTGTTCTACACTGTGGAAGCCTCAATAAACTATTGCAGGTATGAAGATTTCTGTTGAATGTGTTTGTAATGATCATGTGCCTTCATAAACACAATGTTATGTCCAACATAAATATAATGAACTCATTCAAAGTAAACCTCATGTACTGCTTATACTTTATAGAATGTTTTTAATAAAAATGGACAAGACCTGATTCAATGGATTCACTTTATTCAGCACATCACAACAGGTGGCTTGTGCATCTACAACATCTGTCAGACCGCACAGTAAAGTTGCTTTATTTGTGGTCACGCCTGGGACATTTGCTTCGGGGGACACTTTTGAGTTATATATTAAAGATTTCTTGGTGGTATTTTTCCCATCAAATGTTTTTTTGAGTTTTGTTCTGGCCTGAAGATTATAATATAGCATTTAGGGAAAAAAATACATGCCAACAAACCAAAACTTGAAGCCAGAATAGCAAATATCTCCACAGCCACAGTGAACTTCCCAGGAGAGCTGACATACGCTGGGATGAATGTGATCCAGACTGCACAGAATATCAACATGCTGAAGGTGATCAGCTTGGCTTCATTGAAGCTGTCTGGCAACTTCCTGGCAAGAAAAGCAAGTATAAAACATAAGAAAGCAAGAAGTCCGATATAACCAAGCACAGCCCAGAATCCAACAGCTGAGCCCAGGGCACACTCTAAGATGATCTTTTCTTTATAGTACTTCATGTTCATCTTTGGGAATGGAGGGTTGATAGTCAGCCAAAGTATACAAATCACAACCTGGATGAGGGTGAAAGTGAGAACACTGAGTCTCTGCTGTGCAGGCCCAAACCACTTCATCACATTACTGCCTGGAAGTGTAGCTCTGAAGGCCATTAACACCACTATAGTTTTCCCCAGAACACAAGAGATACAGAGGACAAAGGTGATGCCGAATGCAGTGTGTCGCAGCATGCAGGACCACTCAGAGGGCCGGCCGATGAAGGTCAGAGAACACAGGAAACACAGTTTTAAAGAGAAGAGCAGCAGGAAGCTCAGCTCAGAGTTGTTGGCTTTTACAATGGGTGTCTCTTTATGGGTCAAAAAGATTATTGAGGTCAGGAGAGATAAAAAAATGCCAACACAGCCAAATCCAGTTAAAAGTGCCCCCATGATCTCTTTGTAGGAAAGGTATTCAGTAGGTTTTGGAAAACACTGGTCTTTCTTTTCATTTGGCCAAAATTCAGGTGGACAGACGAAACATTCTGGAGAATCTGTTGAAATTATACAAAAATACAAAAATCAGATGAAATCAAAATGAAAAAATATTTTTTTTCGTTCTGTCATGCTCTTAATTTTTCCTTACTCCAATGCACATGAATGAATTCCACTCACTTGTCTGATTACTAATTGTTCCCTCGGGGCATTCAAAGCAGTCGAAGCAGCACACAGGCTTACGCTTGTTTATCGCCTTTCGAGTCCCCGGCGGGCACGGTTCTCTGCAGACAGATCTTGGCACCTGATTAGGCAAAACACAACATGTAAAAAAACTCAATAATGTAAAAGACTGTAATTCAGCTGTGAAAGTTAAGTTAATTGAAATGACATTCACTTCACCTGAATGCTGTTTCCTCCCCAAACTATTTCGGTGTTTTCTTTTAGTTTGAATTTTTCCCCCTCTGGAACAGAAGTATCATATTGACCAATATTTACAATCTTGACAGAGCCATCTTCTTTCATCTGCCAGTTTACCAAGTCATACTGGGCAACCGAGTCACCATTTTCATCAAAGAAAACCTTTGCCCCATTCTGTGTTGTGAAATTCACATACTTAATGTACTCCAACACCTATAAAGAGACAATCAGAACATCATAGCATACATACAACGTGCAAGCAAAAGAGAAGCAATCATTATATTTAGTATTTAAATGGTACCATAAATGAATGCCTACCATTTTACTTTTTGCATCAGCTGCCAAGAATAGAAATGTCAAACAATAAGTATTCTATCCCTGTTCAGAAAAAACAGAACTTACTAGATCAGGCCGAACGTCATTCCTGGTCACACAGGATTTTCCTGTGATGGGATTTGAGCCATTTCGACATTGCAACAGTGCATGAAGGGCATATGCCACCAAGTATACAGCTTTGTACACATTATTCTCAGCCCTGAAATATGTCACGTCTGTGTAGTCACTGGAGACCGTCTGGAGATCTTCTGTGCCAGTACACATGGTAGAGGTATTTGATGGAGAGAAGCTGCAGTCAAAGAACTTCTCCCAGAAAGCTTTAATTACATCACTCTGTGGTTCATCAGACGGTTTCAAGCTGAGTAAGAACTCACGAAGACCTGGTATGGATGCCTGAGGGAGAGCAAATCCGATTGCCCCCTGTAAAATATTCTTCCTCTCATCAGAGGCCAGGTCTGCTTGTGTGATCCAAGACTCACTGCCAACCCACTGTTTTCCAGTTATGTTGTAACTCTCTATTTTTGACAAGAACGATTTGGTGTAAGACAAGGACACAAACAGCAGGACCACCTTTGACGAGGACTCCCTCAGTGTCTCCACAATAGTATCCAACCGGATTTGAGATGTCTTTGAGTAAGGCAATCTGTATTCAACACATATGCCCTCTTTCTTTGCTTCCTTAACAAACTCATTTGTACCCTCCTCTGAGTACAAGCCTTCAGAATGAATAATCCCCACCCAGCGCCAGTCAAAGTATTTCATAAGCTGCACCAGACCGATGATTTGGAAGCGGTCACTTGGCACAGTTCTGAAGAATGTGGGGTATAGTCTTTTGTCACTCAAACAAGCACAGGTAGAGAGGTAGCTCACCTTCAAAGAAAGAGAGCATGTTAAACACAACAAGG